GCCCGGGGACAAAGTTTTCGATTTGAACCCCCCCCCCCCCCCTCAAACTTTTGATGTGCACCCCCCCCCCCACTCAAACTTTCGATTTGAACCCCCCTCAACCTATCAATTTATTTTTCCAAACCATTTTGGCGCCCCAACATATGTCCCCCCCCCTTCCCCCCTCCACCTCCCCACCCCCCCTTCCCCCCCCCCCCCGCCTCCCCTCCCCACCCCCCGCCTCCCCTCCCCACCCCCCGCCTCCCCTCCCCACCCCCCGCCTCCCCTCCCCTACCGTCCCCCCCCCCCTCCTCGGTACGCTACTGCAGTGTCACTTATCGTCACAAAAAACAGACCCCACATTCAAATATATGTTTTTTATCTTTTAAAAACACCGAAAACACCGATTTTGGACTATCCCTTCATAAACTGACGTCACAGGTGACCTACTCAACTCTACTTCACCTGCCCAGTGTCCTGCCAAGTCTCAGACAACATGTTTTTATCGTTTAAAAAAACAATTCCAACCGAGCATGTATCTGACCACACTATCCTTTCATATGCTTAGGACAAAGAAACAGATGAACTCTACTTCACCTGCCCTGTATCTTGCCAAGTTCAGATAGGCAACGTTATCATTCACATCTAAAAAAAAAAATTGAAAAAAAAAATTTCATTGACATATTGGTCTAGAACCCGTGCCTCCTGCATGAGAGCTGACTACGCTACCATTTTAGCTATTTACTCGTGACGTCACAAGTGAATTTTTATACTATACTATGTGTCTCCTTATGCAACTTGATTTACGCGTATAGATTCTAGATCTAGAATCTAGATCTAAAAATAAGTCTAGTAGTACTAACTTTCAAATTAAATTTTATCTTAAATAAGCCAAACAAAGATTTATATAAAATAATTAAGGCCTGAAATAGATTCTAGATGTAGAATTTACATTGAATCTAGTGACCTACATCTAGGCTAGATCTAGATCTAGGCTAGATTCATAAATTTCCTTCGATAGCTGATCTTTAGATCTAGAGAAATTTATCGTAAAACTAAATGAAAAAGACAGTTGAAAATTGATATAAGTGTTGGAACGTAATAAATACAGCAAACGGACGTATTGTTAAAGTTATGACCGACAGAAAATTAGATTTAGAACGCGTTAAACTTTTGAATGGGAACACAATTTTCTTCAATAGACGCCGCCATTTTATTGTACTAAAGAGTAAACAAAAACCTGTGACGTCACTATTCCCACAAAGTTTAGTCAAGGTTTTAACATTTTTAAAAAAAATGGGTTATTCTGCGTAGGAATAAATCAATAAATTAATTAACGTCTTTAAATAAATTTGTGATCAACAGTCTGTCTGCATTAAAAAATTATTCTCTACCTGCATACCATTTTACAGCTTTCCAGATAGAGTCGAACATATCACAATTTTCGATCAGGCAAACAAATAAATATTCAAACATGTAAACAAACTTGACTTTTAGTAGTATACTAGAATACCCGTCATCCGTTGGATAACTGTGGGTTTCGGGGGTCATCCATCAAAAAACATCACGTCTGTCACTCAGAGGCATAGCGACCCTTCCCGGCGCCCGGGGACAAAGTTTTCGATTTGAACCCCCCCCTCAAACTTTTGATGTGCACCCCCCCCCCCCCCCCACTCAAACTTTCGATTTGAACCCCCCTCAACCTATCAATTTATTTTTCCAAACCATTTTGGCGCCCCAACATATGCCCCCCCCCCCCCCTTCCCCCTCCCCACCCCCCGCCTCCCCTTCCCCCCCCCACCCCCCGCCTCCCCTCCCCTCCCCACCCCCCCCCCCCCTCCCCTCCCCTCCCCTCCCCACCCCCCGCCTCCCCTCCCCTACCGTCCCCCCCCCTCCTCGGTACGCTACTGCAGTGTCACTTATCGTCACAAAAAACAGACCACACATTCAAATATATGTTTTTTATCTTTTAAAAACACCGAAAACACCGATTTCGGACTATCCCTTCATAAACTGACGTCACAGGTGACCTACTCAACTCTACTTCACCTGCCCAGTGTCCTGCCAAGTCTCAGACAACATGTTTTTATCGTTTAAAAAACAATTCCAGCCGAGCATGTATCTGACCACACTATCCTTTCATATGCTTAGGACAAAGAAACAGATGAACTCTACTTCACCTGCCCTGTATCTTTCCAAGTTCAGATAGGCAACGTTATCATTCACATCTAAAAAAAAAAATTGAAAAAAAAAATTTCATTGACATATTGGTCTAGAACCCGTGCCTCCTGCGTGAGAGCTGACTACGCTACCATTTTACATATTTACTCGTGACGTCACAAGTGAATTTTTATACTATACTATGTATCTCCTTATGCAACTTGATTTACGGCGTATAGATTCTAGATCTAGATCTAAAAATAAGTCTAGTAGTACTAACTTTCAAATTAAATTTTATCTTAAATAAGCCAAACAAAGATTTATATAAAATAATTAAGGCCTGAAATAGATTCTAGATGTAGAATTTACATTAAGTCTAGATCTAGAATTTACATAGAAACCTAGTGACCTACATCTAGGCTAGATCTAGATCTAGATCTAGGCTAGATTCATAAATTTCCTTCGATAGCTGATCTTTAGATCTAGAGAAATTTATTGTAAAACTAAATGAAAAAGACAGTTGAACATTGATATAAGTGTTGGAACGTAATAAATACAGAAAACGGACGTATTGTTAAAGTTATGACCGACAGAAAATTAGATTTAGAACGCGTTAAACTTGTGAATGGGAACACAATTTTCTTCGATAGACGCCGCCATTTTATTGTACTAAAGAGTAAACAAAAACCTGTGACGTCACGGTCCCGCCGAGTCTAGTGGCTTTTCAAATATTTTTTAAAAAAATGGGTTAATCTGCATATGAATAAATCAATTAATTAATTAACGTCTTTAAATAAATTTGTGATCAACAGTCTGTCTGCATTAAAAAATTATTCTCTACCTGCATACCATTTTACAGCTTTCCAGATAGAGTCGAACATATCACAATTTTCGATCAGGCAAACAAATAAATATTCAAACATGTAAACAAAGTTGAGTTTTAGTAGTATATAGACTAGAATACCCGTCATCCGTTGGATAACTGTGGGTTTCGGGGGTCATCCATCAAAAAACATCACGTCTGTCACTCAGAGGCATAGCGACCCTTCCCGGCGCCCGGGGACAAAGTTTTCGATTTGAACCCCCCCCCTCAAACTTTTGATGTGCACCCCCCCCCCCCACTCAAACTTTTGATTTGAACCCCCCTCAACCTATCAATTTATTTTTCCAAACCATTTTGGCGCCCCAACATATGTCCCCCCCCCCCTTCCCCCCTCCACCTCCCCACCCCCCCTTCCCCCCCCGCCTCCCCTCCCCACCCCCCGCCTCCCCTCCCCACCCCCCGCCTCCCCTCCCCACCCCCCGCCTCCCCTCCCCTACCGTCCCCCCCCCCCCCCCCTCCTCGGGACGCTACTGCAGTGTCACTTATCGTCACAAAAAACAGACCCCACATTCAAATATATGTTTTTTATCTTTTAAAAACACCGAAAACACCGATTTCGGACTATCCCTTCATAAACTGACGTCACAGGTGACCTACTCAACTCTACTTCACCTGCCCAGTGTCCTGCCAAGTCTCAGACAACATATTTTTATCGTTTAAAAAACAATTCCAGCCGAGCATGTATCTGACCACACTATCCTTTCATATGCTTAGGACAAAGAAACAGATGAACTCTACTTCACCTGCCCTGTATCTTGCCAAGTTCAGATAGGCAACGTTATCATTCACATCTAAAAAAAAAAATTGAAAAAAAAAATTTCACTGACATATTGGTCTAGAACCCGTGCCTCCTGCATGAGAGCTGACTACGCTACCATTTTAGCTATTTACTCGTGACGTCACAAGTGAATTTTTATACTATACTATGTGTCTCCTTATGCAACTTGATTTACGCGTATAGATTCTAGATCTAGATCTAAAAATAAGTCTAGTAGATCTAGTACTAACTTTCAAATTAAATTTTATCTTAAATAAGCCAAACAAAGATTTATATAAAATAATTAAGGCCTGAAATAGATTCTAGATGTAGAAGTTACATTGAATCTAGTGACCTACATCTAGGCTAGATCTAGATCTAGGCTAGATTCATAAATTTCCTTCGATAGCTGATCTTTAGATCTAGAGAAATTAATCGTAAAACTAAATGAAAAAGACAGTTGAAAATTGATATAAGTGTTGGGACGTAATAAATACAGCAAACGGACGTATTGTTAAAGTTATGACCGACAGAAAATTAGATTTAGAACGCGTTAAACTTTTGAATGGGAACACAATTTTCTTCAATAGACGCCGCCATTTTATTGTACTAAAGAGTAAACAAAAACCTGTGACGTCACTATTCCCACAAAGTTTAGTCAAGGTTTTAACATTTTAAAAAAAAATGGGTTATTCTGCGTAGGAATAAATCAATAAATTAATTAACGTCTTTAAATAAATTTGTGATCAACAGTCTGTCTGCATTAAAAAATTATTCTCTACCTGCATACCATTTTACAGCTTTCCAGATAGAGTCGAACATATCACAATTTTCGATCAGGCAAACAAATAAATATTCAAACATGTAAACAAAGTTGACTTTTAGTAGTATATAGATAGATAGATTAGAACCCCTACGGAAAAAACGTTTGTTGGTGATGGCTGAGGAACTTTGCCCAGAAAAATCAATGACATGCATGGAAGAAACTGCCCCCCGAACTGAAATTTGCTAGTTAATGCGGCCCTCGGACTGAAAAGTTTGGAGACCCCTGCCTTTAAAGGTCCGAATAGATCTAGGTGAATTAATGAACTGCCGAAAACATTTTTATTTTCAGATTAACGATCGTTTTCACAAATTACCAGTGTAGACTAAAATGAAAATAGCAGTCCCATAAATAGCAATCTCTTCGATCCGGTGTCCATAACTTTACACAATGCTGCGTTAGATTATCTTTTTTCGGGAAAATATTATGAAAAACTGTTCCCTATACTTTTGACTCATTCTGAGGTAAATAAAAATATTGACACTAGAGAGAACGGTCTCAAAGAGGAAGCAGGCACAGTAACACATCAGGGCTATACTGAAATTTTTCCCGGCCAATCTCAAGTCCGGCATAAAACTGATGACTGTCAGCTTGGTAGATGATGGGATGAGACAGATGACGAACACGATGGAGATGGTAGACAGCATGATGACTGTCTTCTTCTCTCTGCTCGAGATGTGTGTCTCTTTCTTGACATGTGACATGGATTGTCTCCATCGCGATTGGTGTTTTAATTTGATCGTAATTATTCCTGTACTCATTAGTATAATGAAGAAAGTAGTGTACGGCGCCATCAGATCGTAAATATAGTACGTGATATTGAAGATAGTGTATACGTTTTCACGAAACTTGGCGTATACGGTGGGTCCATTGGCATTGAAATCAAACCTTCCTAAGTAGACCGTGTAGAACACAGGAAACATACGCAGCATTGTGATAGCGAAGAATATTATCGCAGTGACAATGGCGGTTTTGTTGGTGAAGATGCGTTTAACTTTTAAAGGACTGACCACACAGACGCATCTTTCTAAAGCAGCGTAAGCCGTGATGAACCCACACACCCTGATGAAATAATAATGTGGGTAGATCGCTGCAGCCGTGCTCGTTTCTAAGGGATTCACGACAAGGCCGGAGTTCATAATCCAGGGGTTCATGATCAGGTAGAAGACCTGGAGCGTCACCTGCGCCCCCGTGTCGCTGATAGCTAGTGCCGTGAGGATGATGTTGACGCTGTCGCTGTAGCCCTGCTTGTAGAAGACAAGGATGTTGATCACGTTGCCTAGGATACCGAAGAGCCCGGCGGTGCCTAAGACGAAGGGCTGGACCGCCAGGACAAGTTCCACGATGTGGGGGTCGAGCAGGTTGTTGGTCTGGGAGCTCTGTGGTAAGAACGTAGTGTTGTGACTCATGGTGTGAAGACTGGACGGTTTGATTATATCGCCTGTCTAAGTTGGTAGCGAGTCAATGACCTATCGGCGTCACTAAAGGAAATGAAGTTCAGGTATTCGGATTTATATACATAATGTTTTCTATATACCTCCATTAAAATTATATATATAAATTTAGGTATGCTTTTACTACGTATATATATATATATATATATATATATATATATATATATATATATATATATATATATATATATATATATATATATATATATATATACATATATATATATATATATATATATATACATATATATATATATATATATATATATATACATATATATATATATATATATATATATATATATATATATATATATATATATATATATGTGAAAATGTTCAAAATGTTGACAAGCTATAAAATACAATTAATAATTGCAAAAGTCTGCTGCAGTCCCCTCCGTTGCTTAACAGATATTGATATGTGCGTCTTTGTCCTTTTAAGTCATTGTGTGGGTTGACTTAACAAATCTTTAATCGATTTAATGTGCCGGTGACTTTACGTGAAAATGTTTACCACGCTAACGACTTTGACGTGGCTACAATTTCATGCAATTAGTTTGTAGAACAGTTAGTCGCTCTACTCTCTCACCGGGTAATTTCTATTGCAACAATTTGTGTTGATTTGTGTTCGTTGAAAATTGTGCTTAGTGGGTAAACGTTTCTAATCTCCTCTCGTTATTTCACATTTTTAAAAATGTGGGATCTGGCGCGTAATCGACTTTCTCGAATTGATTTTTTCATACCTTTCGGGCAGCTACGATATAAAGAAATACCAGAAAATATACAACAATTGATTTTTAATGACAAAATAGGCTATCACTCACGAAGATTGCCGATTTCTCTATCTGATAATTTTCAAACAACAAAATCTTTGAATCAATAGCTGCAGGAGAAAACGATACGGTCCAATTTTCTAGAAGAGTCGAATACTAGCAAAGTGTCCAGTAAAGAAATCCTTTGTCATGCTATAATAAATATTGCCACTAACCATCGTGATATTTTTTCATTACATTAGACATTCGATTTCCAGACAAAACGCAAGATTTATGTTTTTTAGGATTCTGTGCGTCTACGTCTCCGTCTCCGTCTCCGTCCACGTCCACGTCTACGTCTACGTCTACGTCTACGTCTACGTCTACGTCTACGTCCACGTCCACGTCCACGTCCACGTCCACGTCAACGTCTACGTCCACGTCCACGTCTACGTCTACGTCTATAATTACAGAAATGGAAATTAATCGTAGTAGGGCTAATAGGTCTATCTGAAAGGCGCACTCGTTAATTTGAGAATGTCTGGTATGCAATTATCTCTTATTAGCATTGGTAAACACTTTTATTGCACGATTAATAAAAATGGTGTGTGGTTTCTTTCGTTTTTAGTTGCTGTTGTTTTTTTTTTTTGTTTTTTTTTTTTGTTTTTTTTGGGTGGGGGGGGGGGGGGTTAATTAAAGTAGGTTGCATTGTTAAAATAACTTGCCTGTCTTGAGTTAACCTAAAGGTTTGAAATTCATATAAACTACCTAATTGACTAGCTAGACAGAAGGTTTGCGGCTGCCTATTGTTGCCTAGAAACTTTGCACATTTTATATCAAAATTCTTCTCGCAAAATAGCGAAAATGCAAACGTTTTATTAATAATGTATATTAATACTCATTCTGTATAGTTCAATTACATACTGACTTGTGTGTTTGTGTGTGTGGGGGGGGATGCTTTCTTCGCCAAAGTTTGAATAGGGGTGACGTAATGTTAGTAGTTCGCCCCGGGCGCCGGAATAGGTCGTTACGCCTCTGCTTATACATACTAATAGGCTTTCTAACTTAGCATACGCGAGAAGGGCCTTCTAGATACCTATTGCAGTTTATGTGTAAAAATGTACCGGAAAACCAGTACACTTTTTACTTTGTTAATTACATAAAAAGTTGTTTTTTTTTTTAATTATAAAATATAATTCAGAACCAGCATAGACAAACACATTTGTTATTCAAATTATTTTCTGTCGAATCCATTAGTGTTGCATGTAGATAGCACTGAAAAGTCCATCCATAAACTTTTTTATTTATGACCCACAGCTCAATGACGTAGGGAAATAATAGCTGATTTTATCAATTCATTAAAATTTACAAGTGAAGCTAAAATCAGTATCAGAGTGGCCCCATTGTCTTTGGCCAAGGCCAGGAGTTCTTTCAGACAGTAAGGGGGTTTCAAACAATGGTGGATAATGTTTATAGTTACCAAGGAAACAATGAGCCGTAATGGTTTGTCCAATTCAATTGGCATAAGCGAGCAAGAGCTCACAAAATGAAACACCTGTTGCTTCCTATCCTTTCTATCTGAATAGGTTGTACATCCTCTGCGATTTATTTATTTAAAACATAATTTTAAATGTTCAAATAGGCCAAATGCGTTAAAAACAAAATTAAGCAAACTTAGCGGAATCTGTTTTACAGTCTTAGGCCTACTATAGTTGTTTTAAAATAATATTTTATCTTTTTTTTTTCTAGAAAATTGAAAAAAAAAAAAATCGAACCGTGAGATGGCAACACCTGCGGTGTGTTGCGTCACAATATCTATTATAGTAGAGCGTGTGTGCTCGTCTAAATGTGTTGTTTGTTGCCGACTCTCTAAAGTCTAGCACAGACAATAGGTAAACTACTGTTTACTGCTGTGTTGATTCAATGGTTTTCAAAGGGGGGAGAGGGGGGAGGTGGTGGAACTGTGAGACGCACGGTCCCCTGCAAACACCCCCCCCCCCCCCTCCAATCGAGTTGGGATACTAACTCTGTATTACATTCCAACTCACAAACTTTTAGAGCTACGGCCTCATTCAAAGAAGAAAAAAAAAATACTCTTAAAATAAAACAATAAAACAAACGCAAGAACCACCCGCCTGAAGCAAGTGCCCAAACAGACAAATATTAGCTCTGCCTCGGGCTTACAGCAGAAGATAATAGAGCCAGCCTTCACCCTAAGTTATTTAGGTCACACCCTCCCCCCACACCCCCCCCCCCCCCACCCTAAAACAGCTTCATGCTCCACTGACCCTACCAATGTAAAACGCTGGACATTTCCATCCAAGGGCGGAATGGGGCAGGGGAATATAGGTCAAGTATTCGTACGCCAGAGATTTTCACCAGGGTTGCATCACCACCCCTCCCCCTCCCCCTAACGTTCTAGAGATAGATTATCGTTTCTTGTCACTTTTATTCCGCCCTCGGAGCAGGCGAGTGGAAAAGTAAGTGATACTTAGCGTGGGCAACTTGACTCTCCGAGCAAAATAGTTGTCTTCTGTAAGTAAGTAGACCTACGCTATCTTCTGAAATGGTTTTAAAATGTATTAGAGATTAGAGTCGTGTTTTACGTTACAAAAACAAAAACCTAATTAAGTCATAAGTCGGTTATTAGCATAATTAGGCATATTTTAACACGGATAAATGGGGGAAGAATAATTTGTTACAGATAAACAAAAATAGTAGATCTAGCTCAAACTCTACTACCATTAGCAGTTGTTTTTTTTTAAGTTTGGTATTCTTACTAGACAAAATAAGACATATCTAGAACTAGTACTGTGAAAAATATTCCCCCCCCCCCTCCCACTGCGCATGTGGGTTGAACCATGTGATCCAATTCGAATGTAAACAACACGTTCAACGCCGTGTTAAGTTTAAAAGCAACACAACACAGTGCACGTCTACAGCCTCCGATCAATACATTGATTAAAAGATGAAATACATCTTTAGTAGGTAAAAATAACTCACTGCTATTCTACAGATATAGGAGGCTATAAAAAGATTTAGCATACATGTCAGTCACATGACAGTGTGTGTATGTGACACGTGGAATGACACTTACATTTTGATTATTACAAACACTAGTTATTCATTACTGTTCAACATTGACTGTCCAAGTTTTTATACACGTGCAGATTCGATAACAACACTAATAATTGGATTTAACGGGATACAAGATATTATGCTGCATCAACACATGTCAAATAAATATGTTTCGACCAGGTTGTTTTGACGTTAAAATTCAATTTCATGAGCTGGGCTTATCTAGAAATCGTCTATAAATAATATATTTATAACATTAACATGTCGCATGTAACATGAACTAAATCATCAGTAAATGCCATTGTGATCTTAAGCTACAGTAAAATACTTGACAAAACCCATATTCATTCTCAAAATTTACTGTTGTTTTGCTTATATATTTCTTTCCTAATTTTAGACTTAGTAGTTCGTGTTTGTTAACTAGTGTGCAATTGTAAACTCATGTGTTTACTAAATGTTTGGAATTGTGTCGGTAAAAGGTTAAAGGTCACTTAATCCACCGGAGCAGCATAATAAACTATTAAGGGGAAAGAAACGATGTAATTTTATAGGTTAAGCTGCCCATTGGGTTTCACAACAGTTCAGTCCCTTACATTAAAAAAAAGATTTCCAGAGAAACACTACGTAATAATGCAATAGCCTAAAAAATTGACATTATCTTAAGTTTTAATGTTTAATGTATATTAAAAAGAATATTGTAAAATTGTTTTTTTAAATCTGCTCGACGCTGAATTTATTGTAGAATGTCTAAAAAGTTCTTTCTAGGCTGTAGGTGTAGGGCCTATAACTTAAACAAGCTTACTTTCAAAATTCCCTCTTAGGTAGGGCCTATGTTTTGTAGCTCACTGCCCTAATGCCTAATTATTAATTAAAATCAACCATACAGGTTTAAATATATAAATTGATCATTAAAACCTGGCAAAAATGTACTTCAAAGGGAAATAGCATATTAGTTTTAGCAAAAATATAAGTGAAGTTGTTTGTTTTTTTTAAAATTAAAATCAATCAATCTTTAGTGTACTTTTAAAGAAATATTGTTTTATTACAATTTTTGTCAAAAACTTCTTTATTACAGTTGTCAATTAAAGTTTAAACGAGAATGGCAGAATCTGGGGTCTGCTGTATGGAGAAGAATACAGAGGCGAATGAATTAAACTATCACAACTATCTAAAGGTGTGTCATAACTTTTATACTGCACAATAAAGACATTGTCTATATAGTCTGATTCAACAGCAGTTGTAGGCCTACTGTTTGTAAGCTTATTCGAAGTGGGAATATAATGATTTAACCATTCAGTTTCTACAGTGCATTCTCTGCGTTTGCTGTGTAGTGTCTCTAGGTCCTGTGTCACCTAATGAAAACCTCTTTAAGGGAGGCAGTCCTCCATGAAAAAGCCCATCTCCTCTCCCCCCCCCCCCCCCCCCTCATAGTACAAAATAGACAATAAATGTAGTTTATATAGAAAATATCTACTTTAACCAGTGCCCCCCCTCAATCAATTTCCCCTTCTGGGTAGAAAAATGTCTGAAAGAAACTACACCTACACATTGCTTCATGTTGTATTTATCTATAACTAGTTATTAATGCTAAAGTAACAAAGTAAAAGTAAAGTTTCCCTTTCAAACCTGACGGTCTATGGGGCAAGTGGAGTTGATTTGTTTCTGTGACCTCGGCATATGAAGAGATAGTGTTTTTAGCACTATGCCCAGCTGCCTTTACTTTACCTAACATGAGTTAGGTACCCATCAGAGCTGGGTGGACTCAGAGACGATCTACTGACTTGAACCCGGATTTGAACTCGAGACTTATGGGTTAGCAGTTCAGCTCTCTACCGCTAGACCACTCCATCCCATTAACAAAGCTAAGTAGATCTTAATTTCCTGTGGTATTATTCTGTTGATTGGTGTTACCCAATAGGCTCTCCACCCTCATTCCATTTGTGATGATACTTTGTTGACAGGCGTCACCACTTGACAGCAAATGTGTGATGATATGATGTATTTACAGATAAAGTACTGAGTTAGAGTTGTGTAGTTTATGTCATGTGTGTGTTGAAACATTAACAGGAGAACACTTTTTCATCCTACAGCTGGACAATGTCCTGTCCAGTCAGGTGATGCAGAGTGCTGTCAAAAACAAGGCTGTGCATGATGAACATCTTTTTATTATCACACATCAAGGTATGTTTTACATGATAGTTACATTATTTTTAAGTGTGAATTACACCAAAATAATCACACACCAAGGTATGTTTTACATTATAGTTACATTGAAGTGTGTTTTAAGTGTGAATGACACAAAAAATAATCACACTTCATGGTATATTTTGTACATTTAATACACATCTCTTAATATTGTTGTACTTTTTACATTATTATCTAGCGCAACTAACATATAACTTTCCTGTAACTTTTACATATTTTGGTTCTACTATTCTAATTTATGATAAATAATGCCACCTTAAATGGATTTTTTTTCTCATGTGTTCCAGCATATGAACTCTGGTTCAAACAAGTTCTTTATGAGATTGATTCTGTCAGGGAGATGTTCATGTTGCCTGTAAGTGTTAATACATATAGTCCATGTTTACTTACTCAATTAACTATTTTAAAATAAAGTTATGTATTACTAATTTATAAATTATTATTTTTACAGAAAGATGATCTATTTTTTTTTAAATTTTCTTAACCTATAGGTGCTGGATGAGTCCAAAACTTTGTTGATTCTGAACAGACTGAGTCGAGTCACTTTGATCCTTAAGGCAAGGCCTCTCAATATTTTCTCTGTATAAAATCCACTTTGCTGTATCTAAGATTAGATGAAATTTACTTATATGTACTAAACAAAATGAGACTATGAATAACTTTTATCCTTTTGTATATGCAGCTTATGGTTGATCAGATTGAAATCCTAGAAACTATGACGCCATTAGATTTTCTGGAATTTAGGTGTGTTTTCAGTATATCATATCATACAGCAGGCCAATATTTATTGTTTTTAACAAGTTTTTTCTATACTGTAGCTATAATTTGGTATGATTTTTTAACATATTTTAAAAAAAAAAAATTTCTATAGGTTACAGCTTTCATCAGCATCAGGGTTTCAAAGTCTTCAGTTTCGCTTGTTGGAAAATAAAATGGGTGTTTTAGAGGTACTCTTTTTGTTATTTTTGGAAAATAAGATGATGGCTTAGCGGTAGGAAATCACATAATCTTGTCATTCGCATGTATGGAAAATAAAACTGGTTTCTTAGATATTAGAAATAATTTATTTTTGCCACATTTATGTCACAATTTATTTACCTTTTTAGATACTCAACCCACTTTTTTGTATAACACATTTAAATGTTATAAACCAATTCTGTTTTGTTTTGAATATTTTAGGCATCACGAGTAAAATATAACCAGCAGCATTACATGAAAGTTTTTTCCAAACCTGAGCAAATTAAAATGCTGCAGGATTCACTGGAGCAGCCATCTTTGTTTCAGCTTGTTGAGGTGAATTAAAAAGTTGTTTCATTACATTTTTTATCATATTTTTACAGTATAATACTAATACAGTCCATCAGTGTGTCAACTAAAAATTGATTTTTTTTCCTTTTTGTAAGAAATATTTGTTACAGTTAAAAAAAAATGTTTTGTTTCTTTAAAGTTGAATACAAATTGTATTTTTACTAGAAATGGCTTGAGAGAACCCCAGGCCTGACAGTGAAGTCTTTCCATTTTTGGGACCTGTACAAAAGATCAGTAGAAAGATGGCTGCAGGATGTTCTCTTAATACCAGCAGAGGTAACCTTTGGCGCTGTCAGCTAATTCTACTCACATAGACAGATACATTGCGGAAGACAAATACATTTTTAAACATTGTCATTCTTGCTGAAGTTAAAGTGTCGTTATCAGCAAATGAGGGTCTGGCTAAAAATGATGAAGAAATATTTTTCTTTCTACCTGAAATAATGTAGTTAAATTAGATATGACATTGTATAAAATAAAACATACCATTTCTGTTAACATACTTATCATTAAAATTGATTGTTTAAAATAAATATTAGGCGATTGAGTTATTTATACTCAAGTACTTCACAAATTAAAGAAATATTTTTCTAATATGTCTGGATTTTATTCTGTTTTTTAAAGAATGAAACAGATGAAAAGGTCAAGCTCAACCTAATGGAGGAGTACAAAAAACAGAGAGTGAGTTTTAGACAAGTTTGGTTAGAGAATAAGTAAAAATATTCCTAAAATTAAACAAGTACCAATAATTGTTCTCTAGAAACATTTTGATTATGATTGAAAACCCTATGTACATTTATTTTGTATTGCATTTTGTATCTTGTATTCTAAACTCTTTGTAGGAAAGTTTTGAAAGTATTCTTGATGAAGAAAAGTACAGTAGTTCAATAGCACGAGGTAAGAAAGTTATCTTTTTTTAAGATGCAAAGTTTTTTCTATCATTAAATTGTGAATTAAATGTCAGTTTTTATTTCATTGCAATTCTATCAATAATTTTTACTCAGGTGATAGAAGATTAAGCCATCAGGGATTTAAAGGTGCTCTGTTAATCTCCCTGTACCATGATCAGCCGAGGTTTAATCAGCCGTCCAAACTTCTCTCACTGCTCATGGATATTGACTCACTCATCACCAAATGGAGATGTAAGTTTTATAAAGCTTGATATGGAAGTTAGTTGTAGGTTTTTATATACACTTGACATGGCTTCTAGATGTAAGTTTTTATATAACTTGATATGGCAGCTAGATTTAAGTTTTTATAAGGCTTGATATGGAAGTTAGTTGAAAGTTTTTATATACACTTGACATAGCATCTAGATATAAGTTTGTCAGTCATTTGGCCCAATTAAACTTGCTTATTTTATATTAAGTTGATACCCTACATTGTAGCTAGTTGTTAGATTACCAATCATTAGATCTGGTAGAAAAATATATTTTTTTTATAAATACACCTGATAGCTGAAGTAGACTACATCAATTTCTCTGATCTCTTCATATCTTTATAATTTTCCCTTTTACTAGCTTGAGTCAGGTACCCACATTTTTTCCAAAGCATCATCTACCAGTTGTTTTTTTTTACTGATGGCATTACAACTGAACTTAGTTTTTACAGCTTATCAACATCTTTATATTGTATTTTAAATTCAGTTGTATGATGATTACCTGAGTTGTATCAGCTTAAATATATATTTAGTTTTGAGTAAATGATCTTGAATCTTATACTGAACACATATCATTAGGTTCATAATTTGTCATTGAAAATAAGCCAAATCTACTTCACCTACCCTGGTCCTAGTACAGAACATTGCTGTTACATATTGTTTACCTATATTGAACTATCCACAGACAACCATGTGATGATGGTCCAGAGGATGATAGGAAGTAAAGTGGGAACTGGAGGCTCATCTGGCTATCAGTACCTGCGTTCAACTGTCAGGTTAGTGGCTTGTATATCACTGTCAGTAGTGTCAGAGTTGATAGTAACACGGTCAATCAGTTCTCTATTATTAAGATGTCACTTCACTTATAGAACAAAAAGAGCATACTTAATTAAAATGCCACCAAAGTTTTTCAAAAATTGACAATGAATGTCAATTTTCTATATTCTAGTATGGATCCTTGAATCCCATGTATTGTGCAATATATATTTATAAACATAGGTAAACCCACACATATATGAGTGTTTATTACTGTCTAAGTGAGAGATACCTAGACATTTGAATTTTAAGGTTAAGTAAGAAGTATTTCTAATAATCATTTTTTTTAATATACTTTGCCTTGTAATAAAACAATCAACTATCCCCCACCCTCTTTGTGTTATGAAATATGTTCAAAATCCAAAATATAACTAAACAGTATGAATATATCCATTGCTTACGTATGGTTATACTTTATGTTTTTCAGTGATCGCTACAAAGTGTTCATAGATTTATTCAACATGTCAACGTATTTGATTCCCCGTGCCTACATTCCACCACTGTCGAGGGCACTGAAACGCCAACTGAGTATTCTCATTCATGAGTACATGCCTCGAGACTCAGATGAATATGATTCTGATGTTGACAAATCAGATGATAGCCCAGTGAGTAAGCTTGAAGATTTGAATATTAATGGAGAAACTAGACCTGTTGTCAAATTTGAAATTTGAGTTTTTTTTCAGCTTTGGGTTGAAGTAATTTGTGAAGTAATTGTTACAATAGTTTGAAAAATGTATTATAGAGAAATAAGGACTTAAAGGAAGGTGTGCTTACAAAGAATGGTTGCACTATATTATGTTGTTGTTTTTTTGTAGATCTGAAAACATTCAATGATTGATTTAAGTAGTATATTTTAAAAGGAATTGTTTTAAAGTATTTGGCATTTACTGTGTACAAGTTGCAACAAAATTTGTCACATACTTCTAGTCAATTGGTAGACTTACAAACATATATTGTTTGTAAAACATAAGAATAAAAATGGCTATGCATTCATTCGAGTTATGCCTATTTGTTTGTTTTTTTTATATGTACTATAAATGGGAACTAAATAATTTTTATTTTAAATTCGACTACATAGTTGAAATGGCAAAAGTTTATTTGAAAAGCCAAGACAGCTGATTTGAATTCTGTGGAGCAGTCCTGTAGCTTCATTTAATAAGTAATATTTTTTGACTGATAAGGTATTTCAGTCATATACAAGAAGAAGTCATAAAATCTTGCTTGTTACAGTACATTTTATGTTGACTAAATGCTTATATACTTTTGTTTATAAAGGACAGATTTATTTAATTTCAAACAAATTAAAACAACATTTCGCAAATAGTAAAAAAAAAAAGTAATAGAGTGCTTTATTATGACATTTTTACATATACACAAATTTATGCAAATAGTAGAACATACATTTTTGTTTGCAGTAAAAATTTGACCACTTCCTGATTAAATAAAATATGCATTTTATGTATACATTGTATTTTTTTGTGTATTTTAAGTTGTTTTATTTAAACCAAAAAGTTAATCTTAAATAATCTTAAATATAATAAAAAATTTACCATCAGGTAAATGCAAATATGTTTTGAAGATATTTATTTTCATTATTAGAGGCCACAAATTGTAAAATGGTCTCTATAGAGTGTTAAACATAATGACAAAATGATGTGCTTAATAACTTTGATAATCTAGTTAATGAACACAGTATTAAAAACAAAATAGTAACCATTATATTCCATTTTTTCAAGTCTGAGTTAGTGTCATTTGGTATATAAATAGATGAGGAGTGAAATGTTTCACTTTTACAAATATTTTCACACCAATTTGAATGTTGACAAATCTCCAAGATCTTAAAAAGCATGGATTATAAAAATTATGGGCTATCAGTATAATAATTTCAGATCAATCATTATATCACTTCTAAAAGTTGTATAAAAAATCATAAAAATTTAAATTAATAAAAAAATAACTCAGAAAATTGAATAACAACATATTAATGCATCACAAGAAATATCTTGTTGAAACACCTGTAAAAGAAAAGCTTTATTAACATGCTTTAGTCTTATACACAACAATAAATTTAACAGTTTACTATTTTATGTACAATTATAAATTAATACACTTTTTAAAAATAAGTTTTTCTGTTTTGATTCGTTCTATGGTATACTGTATACATTTAATTTATTCTATGGAATGCTGTATACATTTAATTTATTCTATGGAATGCTGTATACAGTTAATTTATTCTATGGAATGCTGTATACATATTGAAAACATTTTAAAATGACAAAAGCCTACCAGTTTACTGGAACTGGCAGATGCCAACATCTGGTGCCTTAGTGCAAAAATCCTCTGACTTAAGTGTGTACTTCTGAGTTAGTTCTTTGCCTGGAGGCAGATGTTAAGTTTGTTAACCAGTTATTAGCAATTAAGTCAAAAGTTGACTACACAAATGTCTAGCTGTTTCAATACAATATAAATTGAACTAAAACCGAATTTAGTTTTTAAAAAAAAGTAGTGGAAAACCAATCAGAAGCATTTGTGTAGATTTGTGATTTATTTAAAGCTTACCTGGATTGTAAAAGTCATAGATTCTTAAAGATTTTGGAAGCGCTTTTGTTAAAATGGCATTAGAGGCAATCATATTAACTGCTACTGTCACTCCTTTAGTAGTTATCTGAGAAATTGAAGGCAATTTTTTAAAGACACAATGGAACAAAGATAAATCTTGTAAGTTACTATATGTTTCTTTACTACTACAAGTTGATCATCTCCACGCATTTTAAGTGTTAAAAAAAAGCACTTATCAATTTCCTTAGAATTTTTAACATGTTTCAGTTCTGAAATTATGTACCTATTAATTCTTATTGGACGGCGTGGTCAGATGTTTTAGGACATAATGGTAAACCAAAAGAATCGAGTTTGGATCCCAGGCACGTCCAAAGAATTTTCCTGTACACCCAACTCTAATGGGTGCCTGACTGATGTGAGGGGAATTTGTGCTAACTCGGTCTGGTGCACTTCATAACTTTGTCATGCTGTTGCAATGATTTAGTTGAACTGTCAACCACTGTGACAAAACTAGTTCTATCATTTGCATGGAAAAATCTGATTTAAATCATATGAGGCTGATGTGTGTCTATACCTCCACTGAACACCTGGGGTTCAATACAACACCGGGCAAGAACCGCTTTGACAAGAACCACTTTTTAAAAAATACCACCTAAGCTATGACCTATTACACCTCTAAATAGTTTACTTAGTTTCGTATAGGTTTTCCTAAAATAAATTATCACTTACCACATCAGTATCAAAGTAACAAACTAGTTTGTCCTCTTTTACTTCAGCTAGACTGATGACAGGGTTGCCAATTAAAACATCTAAATCTGTTATGTAGCCGGCTGGGATTTCAACTTCTAAGATACTCATACCAGCAGACTGTGGATTATTTACAAGTTTTGATAAAATCTTTATCTAAATCTTAATCTAGTAGATATAAATATATTTTATAGTATGAAGTCCTTGTAATCTTATGAGGTAAAAAAAAGGTTTGAATAAGGTTCATCCATAAATAATGCCAAAATCCTATGTGAGAGGGGAAGGTATTCAGACATTTGTGTCTATGGATGCTGAGAGGGAGATGATTCAGAAAGTGTGATGAGACACATTTGCACTTTAAAAAGTAATGGTCTGAAACGAATTTGAGCCATTGTTTCAAACTATTATGCAACTTGTTATGCATTGTAAATAAAAATAGTTTTGATCCAATCATTGCTGTTTTTTTTTTAAAATATCTGCTACATACCTCAGAAATGGTCCATATTTTAGCAATAATTTGAAAGTTATTTCCCTTGGTAACAATTTCATGGGACATGCCATAGTTCTGTGCCACTGTGTCCTCTTTAACATTGTAAGTTAGAACAACCTGCAGAACAGATTTTAATTAATTTTAAGTTTGCCAGTCTTCATTAGGTCAATTATTTTTAGGTCAGTCTTCAATTAGTCTTTATTCAGCCTTCATAAGGTCAGTCTTCATTAGGTCAGTCTTCATTAGGTATGTCTACATTAGGTCAGTCTTCAATAAGTCAGAGGGGGGGCAGGGGGGGGGACATATATCCCCGGGCGCCGAACTTAGGGGGCACCAAAATGGGTTGGAAAAATAAATTGAAAGCTTGAGGGGGGTGCAAATAGAAAATTTGTCCCCGGGCGCCGGGAAGGGTCGCTACGCCTCTGCAATGAGTCTTTATTCATTAAGTCAGTCATCATTAGTTCTGTCTGCATCAGGAAAGTCTCCATAAAACTAGTCTTCATTCAATCTGTCTTCACTAATAAGTTTTCAACAGGTCAGTAATTGGTCAGCTTTCAAGAGGTCAGTCATTGGTCAGCTTTTAACAGGTCAGTCATTGGTCAACTTTTAACAGGTCAGTCATTGGTCGGTGTCTAACAGGTCAGTAATTGGTCAGTGTTCAACAGGTCAGTAATTGGTCAATGTTTGACAAGTCAGTAATTGATCAGTGTTCAACTTTCACCAGGTCAGTCTTTGGTCGGTGTTCAAACAGGTCAGAAACTAGTAAACTTTCAAGAGGTCAGTCTTTAAAGTTGAACCATCCCTCTATACCAAACTTACCTCAGCCATCACCATGCTTGATCCCCTCTGGTTGTTGTTTGTCCTGGCATTTATTGAAATTGATTTTGGCGCGTCATTCTAAAACAATTATGTACAACTTAAATGATTTTGGCGCGTCATTCTAAAACAATAATGTACAACTTAAATTGATTTTGGCGCTTCATTCTAAAACAATTATGTACAACTTAAATTGATTTTGGCGCGTCATTCTAAAACAATTATGTACAACTTAAATTGATTTTGGCGCGTCATTCTAAAACAATTATGTACAACTTAAATTGATTTTGGCGCGTCATTCTAAAACAATAATGTACAACTTAAATTGATTTTGGCGCGTCATTCTAAAACAATTATGTACAACTTAAATTGATTTTGGCGCATCATTCTAAAATAATTATGTACAACTTAAATTGATTTTGGGGCTTCATTCTAAAACAATTATTTACAACTTAAATCGATTTCGCCGCTCGTTCTAAAACAATTATGTACAACTTAAATTGAATTTGGCACTTCATTCTTTTAAAAAATTATGTGCAACTTAAATACAGCCCAAATCTTTACAATAACACTACTCCATAACCCAAAGTTTAACTTTATTTTATTATAACACTACTCCACAATCCAATTTTAACTGTACTTTATGATATAAAAATTAAGCCTACTCAACATAATATAATATTCAATTAAAATCAAATTGATTATTAATAACACTTTCAACACTAAACAACATCACAAAATCAAAATGAAATGACACTCACCATATAGTTTATGTTAACACTTTGCAGCAACATTTCATTGTTTTTGTTCACTTCAAGTACCTCACTCTGTAGCTGACCTGCCCCATTAGTGTAACTTATTGTTATTGTCATGGGAATATCCTCCCCTGTGTACAACACACTGCCGATACTTGACAAAGCTTGAAGGCCAGTAACTGTGTCCTGTGTAGTATAAATAGTTTTAAGAAAATTTAACACCAAGTTGTGTTAATATCATCATTAAGATAAAACACAACTTCATTTAATATGGCAAAATCCCCCATTTCTCACCTGCGTTGAAACAAATCCCACATTTCTTACCTGCATCGAAACAAATCCCCCATTTCACACCTGCGCTGAAACAAATCCCCCATTTCTCACATGTATTGAAACAAGTCCCCCATTTCTCACCTGTGTTGAAACAAATCCCCCATTTCTCACATGTATTGAAACAAGTCCCCCATTTCTCACCTGCGCTGAAACAAATCCCCCATTTCTCACATGTATTGAAACAAGTCCCCCATTTCTCACCTGCGCTGAAACAAATCCCCCATTTCTCACCTGTGTTGAAACAAATCCCCCATTTCTCACCTGTGTTGAAACAAATCCCCCATTGGGACCTTTTTTACTTGTCATCCACCTCACAATGGGGATTCCTTCAGTTGCACCAATGCCACGAATTGCATAAGTCAGAAGGGCATAAGCCGTTGCTTCAATGCTAATAGAGTCAGCAGACGCAGACCAGAAATATACATTGTCTGGTTGCTTAACTTCTGCCCTCTTCCAATATTTTAGACCATCTGAATTAAAAAAAAAAAACAGGTATGAAGTTAAGTTGGAAAAAAAAAAATTCTTGTATAATAAACCTAAAGTTTTAAAGTGTTGGTTAAGATTTTTAGTGGGTCTAATTTCTATTCCATTTTTTTACATGAAAATTTTTTAAACTTTCAAGAATTATTTAAAATAGGCCTAGTCACTTCCATACAAGGAATTGGACCGTGAATTTGTTTTTAAATTTTCAGTTCCCTACTTTATATTGTAATTGTAACATGCATTGATGTTACTTTAGGATCTGTACTTGAGTTTCATTTTTCCACAACTATAGAATGGATCTTGTACTAAATCTCACAATACCTGACCCTACCTTACCAAATGTTTACATAAATAGTATTAGATTACAATTAAGCATTTAAGTGCAATACTGCAGCAATGGAAAAAGCCTTATCTAACCTCCTGAGATGGCAATAGCCTGCATTTTATCAAAACTTTTTTGCTTGCTGGGACTGTCCACAAGATGGAATGTGTAGGCCAAGAGACAGATGGTGTAAGGATCTGTGACAGTGTCCAGTTGATTGGTTAAAAATGTCACAGCATTTCCAATGCCTGATTCTATCTGTAAGTAATTTTTTAAAAATTGAACACTGGAGCTGGAATTTTAATGGTTTTGTACAGTTACAGAAAAACATGTTATGATGTTGAGCAGCAGTAAAAGAAACATTTTCTGGGCCAAAAGTCTCAAGTATGGTCAATACTTATACTTAATCCATGAGTCCACCCAGTTCCATGGGTACCTGACTTTTATATATAATTTTACAAGTGTTACCCCCCCCCCCCCCCCACTCCCCTGGAAAAAAAGTCTACTAGAAACACTGCCTTGGGAAAGTAAAGGTGACTGGGAATATTGCTGACTGACAAACTGACAACACTCTCCTTCAGATTCTGAGGTCGCAGAAACAGATAAATTCTGCTTCATGGATTGCGAAGCCTTAAAGTGTACTTGTTTTTTTTTTTTAATTTTACACTTATACAAATGAGCCTTTTAAGTCACAGATGAGGAGTTGAAGCTGAAATAATTACCTTTGTTTTGTCTACTACATCCAAAACCTTACTGGCTTCAAACAAGGCAATAACACAATAAGCAGTCAGAGATTCCCCCTCAGCAGAACCTCCCTGTTAGAAGATATTAGAAAAATATAAACTTAGGTGTCATAGCTGAAAGGAGCTGAAATAAAAAATGACTTTGAAATAGAAAATCATGCTATATGTATTTTATATAGTGGTAAATTTCGTTATTAAAATATTAATATCGCTATATCAATTATTAAAATTCTAAAAAATTAACAGAACTTTACCGGTTGTAATTGTGAATGAGATTAAAAGTAAGTTTATTGTTTATAATAAAAAAATGGTATCAAATTTGTTAGAGCACCTGCATTTCTTTGTGGAAGACTTTTCCATATTCTGTAAAACTTCCATTTTTATTTTGTTGTGTCAGCATCCATTGAGCAGATCTGTTGACTATGTCTTTGTCAATGCTAATGATATTGCCATATTCCAGATTTAGGCTATAAGCTTGAGAGAAGCTCCTCAATACAAATGCTGTTAGCCTGAATCAAATAACATAAAGTAGACCATTTAAAAAAGTTACACAGAAATGAGTTTTTTAGATTGAATTTCTAAAGAGTTTTAACAGATAGTTGTAAGTAAGTTTGTAGCACTACTTTAAAAAAAAATGTGATTAAAAAAAGCATATAATGGAATGAAAAGTAAAAAATATGATTATGCTTTATAGTAAAAATAATCCACTTACCAAGTGCTAGGCGGGTTTCCACCACTGCTCCCAAAGGTACTGAAGCCTCCAGTACTTCCATGCTCATACATAATTTCTTTCTGATAGCCTGCACATTTGTAATCAATTAAAAGAGATCAGTTCATTATTCTTAGGCTTCCTTTTGAAATCTATACTTATTTTCCTTAACACCATGGAAAAGGAGGTATCATAATATGACAGAACTGATGTATCAAAAGTTATTTATTTAAAAAAATGTTAAGTAACCTACATTCACTTTTGAACTTGAAGTAGAGTTCACCTGTTTCAGTGATCTCAGCATATGAAAGGATAGTGTGTTCAGCACTATTCCTCAGCTGCCATTACTTTCCTATGTGGGCCAGGTACCCATTAAAGTTGGGTGGATTCAATCAATGTTTCTTTCAGATTTTTTCCTCTTCCAGAAGGAGGGGGAGACACTTGAAACTTGGGGGGGGGGGGGGCCTGATTAAATAGGGGTGGACACTAGCAAAAGTATGTATGTTCTTTATAAGAGAAGTACTGGACTCAGTATTGAGATCCAAATTGGGATAGCAGTCAATTGCTTTATCATTTGACCATGCCATCACTTTTATATAGAGTAATATAGACCTTTACAAGTTTGTTACAACTGTTTCATCAGTGAACTTTTAAGTTTTTCAATGCCCTAATTTTTTTTTAAATTCATAAGCAAGCATTTAAAAGAGAAACATACTTTTTTCAAGCAATAAAATGCCATAGTAAGGCAAATGTTTTACAACCATATTTAAATGCCAATGTAGTCTTAATATCAAGAAAAGTTTAAGGCAACATTTGTCATCAAACAATTAATATATGAATATAGAACATTGTTTCATGAAGTGAAGTAAGGAATAAAAATGTTCTACTTCAATATTTTTTTCACAGATGTATCCAACTTTATTTTAAGAGTAAATTATTAAATGTACCTCATTAATGTGTTTAGTTTCTTACCAGCAAGCATGAAATCTGTTGCCCGTTTTAAAAATTCATCAGTAATTCTGTTTATTTTGTAGTAAAACTGCAACAGGTAAATATTTGGTGCAAAGTTTAACATGTTCTGTTCACCACAGCCATAAGGCATTTTTAGGAGATTGCCTACATCAGATGCAAGTGATCCTAAGAAATTGCCTGAGGATAAAAATATTATTAAAAAATGTTTTAAAGTTGAAGATTAAGGTTTAAAAAATATAAAGGGTCGGTGTTGTCGAGTTAGTAAAGTTCATATTTGGTAAACCGAAGAGTCTCAAGTTAGAACACCCAAGCAGATGAGGCTTGATAGCTAGGGACAGCAACTCTTCTAGGAAAGACAAATCTAAAATTAAAGGCTGCCTTGTTCTTGGATTAGACAACGGCTATGGAAGCAAACCCAAAAAGAAAAAAAAGGCTGAAATCTGAGTCAATGGCACATAAGTTGACACGTAATAATTAACAATGTGTTAGGGTGAATCCCTTCCAACATTAAAAATTAAGAATAAAAAAGAAGAAGAAAGATTTTAAGTTTGTAAATTCTAGTATAATTTTTTTAGTGTCAGAAACAATTGGTCATACTTTATCCTCTCATATTGACAAAACCCCTGAGTCTGCATCAGACTTTCAAAAGAGACACTTTTGGCTGGAAAACTTAAAATCTTTCTTCAAATTAATACATTCAATATATGCAGGTAATATTTGAAACAAGTCTTTATCAATGATTACGACACTTGTTAAAATCTATGTCTACTTTAAAGTGAATTACTTAAAACATTTTTGGCGATTGGAAAACTTAAAATCTTTCTACAAATTAATACATTCTCTAACATCACATAATTTTTAAAACAAGCCTATATCAATGGTAATAGCTTGGTTAAAATATATATCTAATTTAAAGTAAATTATTTAAAACATTTAATGACCATGGAAATTAAAATACATATTAATTAAAGAGAATGGTAATTTGTAGCAGCAAACTTTAAAGAATATAGGATCTGCTTACCGGCAAGGTTTACTGTAATTCTCTGTGAATCCGTGACAGAAGATGTAGGATATGCAATAGGAAAATTCATGTCCCATGAACCTTTTGAGAGGTCAACAAGGTGAGAATAGCTTGTTGACCTAGGGACACCTTCAGGCTGGGGATTAATAGAAAAGTATTCAGTCAAGCATTACATCCTTTTTCTACATATTTTTCAGTGATTTTTCAGATTTTACATATAGAACAATTATTTTTATATTGCATATTATATAGACTATCATTTTCTTATTATATAAAGTACTAGCCGTCCCGGCCAGGCCCTGCTCTGGCTTCTGTGAAAAACCTTTCTGTTAAAGACCATTACCTGTGTGTTTAGTAATCATCATAAACCCGGCATTGCCCACCCAAACCACAACCAACCAAAAACAACAAAACGCAAACATAACGCTAACACAATTACAAATGCAAACGAAAACAAAAACCTAACAACAAACCCAACCACAAACACCAATACCAACAAAAAAAAACAACGAAAAAGCAAACGAAAACAAACCAAATCCAAACGCAAAACCAACCAAAAACACAAATACAAACCCAAAAAAAAAAAAACACAAACAAAAACGAAAAAAGAAAGAACAAAAACGAACCAAATCAAAACGCAACCACTAACGCAAACCCACCTAAACACAAAGAAAACACTAACGCGAACATAAACGCCCGGGGCGGAATCACCTGTTTTAGCTTAATGAACGACTATAGTACCCCAACTTATTCACAGTCTTTTGCACTCACTTAAACGAACGCGCCTGTTTCAATTCAATAAACAATTTTAATACTCCAAGCTTATCCGTAAAATACCTACAACATTTGCACTTGATCAATCCCCGCTAATTATGTAATTATTTTTTTTCCCAACACCAAAACAAAGTAATTAAAAAGTAAATTATTTTCACGGAATGCAATGGTTTTATAAAGGGAAGTAATTGTGTTTTTCCTAATTTATCAAAGGGAAGTAAGTGCTATAGGACTAAATAAAGACATAATTAGAATTTTTGTAAAAGATGATATTTTTTTTAAAACTTGTGTTTAATGAACATGCCGACAATTATTACTATAATTTGAAAAATGAAAATTATTTCCCAACACTTTCAATAGTAATTTTTTAGCTCATAAATTTAGACAAATGCGCACGATAATTTTCTAACACTTAAATTCGTACAATTCCAACGACATACAAATGCATTACATACAGAACTGAGCTTTATATATTAGATACAAATGCTTGTAGGTAATACTGAATAAACTTAAGGTAATATTTTGGTAATACCATTATGTTAAGGCATATTCTGCTATAAATTTTGTGCAGTTGATATTTTAAAACTGGCTTTATTTTTTTTTACTTCAATTTATATTCTTGCAATGCCTTTATATAAGTTTATAAAATATTGTTGCAATTTCCTAAATTAACATTGTTGCAATATCTTTACTCAAGTTAATATTGGTGTAGTAAAGTTTATATTGTTGAAAAACTTTTACTAAATATTGATGTACTATCTTTACTCAAGTTAGTATTGTTGCAATATCTGTATCCAAGTTAATAATATTGCAACACCTTTATTGAATATTGTTGCAATAACTTTATATTGTTGCATTACCTTTATTTAATATTCTTGCAATACCTTTATTAAATGTTGTTGAAATATCTTTATTAAATATTGGTGAAATATCTTTATTGTTGCAATATGTTTATTTGATATTGTTGCAATACCTTTATTTAATATTGTTGCAATACCTTTATTTAATATTGTTGCAATACCTTTATTTAATATTGTTGCAATACCTTTATCTAATATTGTTGCAATAACTTTATTTATATTGTTGCGATACCTTAATCTAATATTGTTGCAATACTTTTATCAAATACTGTTGCAATACTTTTATCTAATATTGTTGCAATATCTTTATTTAATATTGTTGCAATACCTTTACAGTGAGATTAAGCTCCACTGCATCACTTAGACCATCAATGTTAGTTAGAGCACTAAATTTGAGAGGGACTTCCCCAATGACCAGTGGTGTTAAACAATATTTCATGGATGCTGCATCATTCTGTGACAGCTAAAAGGAAAAAAAACAAAAGGAATTTTTTTTTTATCTATGTTATGTGATAATAACAGCATGTTGTAATAAAAAAGGAAATACATGACGCAAATTTGTTTGGAAGAGCTTAGGATTTAAGTTAGATTTAAGTTATTTGCAATAGCAATTAGCATTATGAGTAATGGGATTGCTCATATAGTAGGCCCTTAGCCTAAGAAAACTGTGCAAAAAAGGTTGGCATATTTCAGTCTGAAAGTTGAGCAATACACTTCATATATCAGAAAAAAAGGCTGGCCACTCATATACTAGAAAATAGAGATATGAGACACTCACATATCCCATGAATAGTATTAGTTGATGCTATAACAGAGACAAGACTCACATATCCCATGAATAGGATTAGTTGATGCTCTAATAGAGACAAGACTCACATATACTAGAAAATAGAGATATGGGACACTCACATATCCCATGAATAGGATTAGTTGATGCTTTAATAGAGACAACACTCACATATCCTATAAATAGAGACAAGACTCACATAGCCCATAAAGTAGGAGTAGTTGATACTCTAATAGAGACTAGAAACTCACATATCCCATAAAGTAGGAGTAGTTGATGCTCTGTTTTGACAGAATGATTTGGTCACCATCCCGTGTCACATGGATGTTGCTGAAGCTGTTGCTCTTTTCTAATGTCAGCAGAACCTGAAACCAACAATGACATTTAAATGTCACAGGATCTGCACCCAACAATGACATTTATATCTCACAGGACATGCAACCAAAATTGACATTTAATGTCAGTAAAACCTCAACCAACATTGCCATTGAAATGTCAACAAAATCTACAAATAAAATTTCTTTAAAATGTCAGCAGAACATAATGTCAGTAATAACTATAAAGTTTAAGATCCATCTATGGCCTATACAATCCTAACGTTGGTTGTGTTTTAAACAGGACACAAAATAAAACAGTATAAAATTGAAATACTCTACATCAGCTGTAAAATATGTTCAGAAGGTAGATTTTTAAGTATATCATAGTGGCTGTCAGAGTAATTGTAAAATTTTACTCTTTATTTTTAGGGATATATAGTTGCTTGTACAATACAGTGTCTTATTAAGATTGAGTTTATGCTAGATATGCTCTCAGGGTATAAAACCACTTTACAAAATCTATAGCAACTAAATGGACCTTCCATCCAAAGCTCACCATTTTGTGAATTTGGGATTAGATTATCTAAATCAAATTATTTTATAAAATATTGTTTGTTAGCGGATTATTAGAAACAATGGCAGAATCTTAGACTGGGTTTTAAAAAGTGTGTAAGCAACAGAATCAGATGTCAACTGAATCATCTGATCATTTTTTTACATTTAAAATTTTACATAAATAACAATAAAGAAATAAAAAATTAGCTAACAGTTCTATATCACTTCCCCCCAAAAAATTAAACCAACTGCTAACCCTTTCATGTTATATAATACAAGCATGATCATTCATAGTTTGGTTTACCAACTGCTAGGAAACAAAGTATTAAAAGTTTTAATTAAAATTTTACTTCTAGGGAACATAAAGTATTACAAGTTTTAATTAAAATTTTACTTCTAGGGAACATAAAGTATTAAAAGTTTTAATTAAAATTTTACTTCTAGGGAACATAAAGTATTAAAAGTTTTAATTTAAATTTTACTGCTAGGTAACATAAAGTATTAAAAGTTTTAATTAAAATTTTACTTCTAGGGAACATAAAGTATTAAAAGTTTTAATTAAAAATTTACTTCTAGGGAACATAAAGTATTAAAAGTTTTAATTTAAATTTTACTTCTAGGGAACATAAAGTATTAAAAGTTTTAATTTAAATTTTACTGCTAGGTAACATAAAGTATTAAAATGTTTAATTAAAATTTACTTTAATCTTCATAAAACAGATAACACTTTAGTAGTGGTTACCGGAGTTTCTCCAGGGGCGTAACAAAACACAGTCACTGTGATACAGATGTCCTCATTCCTAACTATAGACACAGGCAAGTCAACACTGATAAACATATTGCGGAAAGTTGTCAGCTGAAAAAAATAGTTGACATGAGTGTAATCAATATAGTACACGCTAACATTTGTTTTTTAGTAACAGAAACATGAACATCTGTGGGATTTAGCCTTCCTGTAAAGCTTCATAAATTATTGGGGTTAAATATAGGCCAATAAAAAGTTAACACAATTTTTTTGCAAGCTCTAAATTTTTATGTTGCATAGAAAATGTTCTTTAACCCGCAGATATAATCTACGCTTAAATATTTAGTTGCGTTAAGCAAGTGCTTGAAAAACTGAAGCCAACAGGGATGTCTTGGGAGATGTCAAAATTAATAGCCGAGGATAGGAAGAAATGGAAGGAAATGGTGGAGGCCCTATGCTCCATAAGGAGCAAAGAGGACTAAGTCAAAAGTCAAGCAAGTGCTTGGATTAAACAATATTTAAAACATTGTTTTCTTCCTGGCCAGACAGTCCATGGGACTAACAAAATGCAATTCATTTGTTTTTGTGATGTTAGAATATAAATGAATAATGTGGTCAGAATTATGCCTAGCTGATGTTGAGCAACACAAATGTAACAATAATTTGGTTTTATAATTAGGTAGGTTTTTTTTTTAAATTTGATCAAAATATGTGTAAATTTGAATCTTTATATTTAGGATACTCTTCATGCCTTCAGTGGGATGGAGGGTCTTGAGTTCAGATCTCAGAGTGGACTTCAGACTGTAGAACACAGTCTACACCCAGCTATGATGGATACCTGACTTGTTTTAGGAAAAGTAAAGATGACTGGGCATAGTGCTGACCATACTGTCCCTTTATATGCTGAGGTAAGAAACATATGGACTCTACTTCATCTGCCATATGGATCAATTGTTCTGGAAAGGGAGCTTTACTTACTTACATTACATGCCTTGTTAGACACTGATAAGGAAACATTAAAAATGTCTTTACGATGATGAACATTTTGGTTACCTTTGCAGAAGAGTTGGCCACAGAGAGGCCATATTGTTCATGAGTGCTGAACACTGTTGCCACCCAGGATGTGATTGTGTCTGGTGATTTTAAGGACATTTTTACTTGCCCATTTGGCCTGTGAGAAAAATATTATAAAATAATACATTTTCAAATTATTTAATGGATACAGAAATACATAAATTTAAGAAGTGGAGTTTTAACTTGTCGTTTTAAAAAAAAAAATATTTGTAAGAACATCCTAAAAAATATTTGTTTTGAAAAAGTAGTATAGAAAACTGTCACAAAAAATAATGAAGTCAAAGTGATTAAAATATTTTTGTTTTAATTTCTTTTTTAATTAATTTTTTTTTTTTTCATTTCATAGATAGCCTAAAGATAAAATTTACCAGTAACACCTTAAAATATTTAGGATTGGCTACTCAATATATTGTTTACATGATTAGATAAATATAGGCAGCAAGGCTGAATAAAAAGCAGTGATAAACTTTGCTCATGCTTGTAAACATTGAATATACCTTTACAAAATATGCTGGTTAAAGTATTAGTTGGGATATTTTAGTAATCACTTTCACTAATAGAAAAACGATAATATTAGTAATTTTTTTTAATCTAATACTAACCCTTCAAATAAACTGTACTCTATAAGCCATAACCAAAGACAATTATTAAATCTTTCATAATAAAAACTATGACCTACTGTACTGGAGCAGAATCCCACAACCAAGTCTCTGGAAAAAATTTTCTTACGACGGCAGCTGGCTGGAAGTTATCATTTGACTCAGGTGCATCTGCATTAGGAGCTCCACCAGCCTTATCCATCATTGAGTAGTATCTGTCATCTATGAGCCAATCAAAATATGGTGCATAACTTCTCCATAAACAAAGATAAATTTACCTCAAATTTTTTCTCCATGTAGTTGGTCACAGTGTGGCTACAAATCTCAGGGCAATAAATAGAACTTTTTTTTCAAAAGCTTTTTAGATACACACATGCTTCATTCACCAATTAGTAGAAACAAAAAATTAAAACCCATAGTACCAATCACCAACATAAAAATACCCAAATCCCCATTCAAATATGCAAGAACCCATCCACCAGGTTTCAGAGCCTTAAAATTAGGCCGACACTATAAATAACCTACGATGCAATAAGGGAATCCCAAATCCAGTTTTCTGGGAAAAATTTTCTAACATTTTTAGCAGGCTGGAAAGATGACTGGGACGCTGTCTTTTCAGGGGCAGGGGCAGCTGCAGCCATATACATAACAGGGAACCGTCCTCCTTATATGTAACACATTTTTAAGTTAAATATTCTTGAATGGATTGTTAATAATTTCTAATCAGTTTGCACCTTGAGTTGTATTTTGCTACATTTTTATACAGACTACATAAATTGATTCATTGCAATTATTTTTGAGAAATTTGCAAATTTATTTGAAGCCTTATAGAAAGTGATTGGGTGAATTATTCAAACTTTTCAATGTACATAGAATTAGATTTATATGCTTTCACATTTTAGGATAAAAATAAAAATTTGTTTTAAAAAACAAAAGAATAACAACATTATTTGAAGATAATTTAAAAAAAACAACTGAACTGCTAGATTTTTTTAAACAGGAGTACTGAAAATAAAATAGAAATGGCCTAGGGCAAATTTATTAAAAAAATGATGCTTGTGATAAACTATAAATTAACTTATATTTCCAAAATGAAGGTTGAAAAGTTGAAAAGTACAGAATTGTCTGTTTAGGAATCGTACTTACCAAATGGTTTCTCATAAACAAGTCCATCAGTAATCATAATAACATTGGCTTCCTACAGAAAATAAAATAAAAAAAATGATGGCAAGCATAATAACATTGGCTTCCTACAGAAAATTAAATTAAAAAATGATGGTAAGCATAATAACATTAGCTTCCTAAAGAAAATAAAATAAAAAATTAAGGTAATCATAATAACATTAGCTTCCTACAGAAAATAAAATTTAAAAAATTAAGGTAAGCATAATAACATTGGCTTCCTACAGAAAATAAAATAAAAAAATGATGGTAATCATAATTGTGAATTAACAATGAATAGACCTACTAAAATGAAACCATACATTGAAAAATCTAGAAACAATATAATAATGTTAGCCATGTGCATTAAATATGATCTGTATGTATTATGGAGCATGTTAAAATACAATTATATATTACATTATATATTATAATAAGCATCGCATGAAGTTCAGAACACATTATATTGTAATATGATTGGAATGAAATATGAAACATTATAAATATATCCGGCTCTATATTATAAAAGACCATTGGATAATAAGGCATCTGAGCACAAGGTTTATGCAGTATGATGAGAGGGGTCAGATGTTGCCCTTGTATCAGACCAACCCCCCCCCCCCCCATACAGCTGATAGGCCCAAGGGACAAGACGTTATACCTATAGGATACAACTTTGATCAGCAGTGTCACAGGAGCTACCAAAAGGAAACCATATTTGGTAATCCTATCACCTACGAGGCTCAATTCCTGTTTGATTTGGGTGTTTTCTCTCCTAGGTTGCTGTCCCTGGTTAACAAGCCTTATCTGCCTGAGGTTTTGAACTGAGAACTTTCAGGTTAGCAACCATGTGCTTACCCGCCCGACCAGTGAAAAGATTAAAATACCTGAAAAACACTGGCAGCATCTGTGCCACTGGAGCGTGATGGCCACCCACACATGAACATGTAGCGCCAGTATCCAAAAAAGTTTCCACCGTCATAACCTGCCATATCCTCTTGTACCTGTAGGAATCAAAGATCAAGGTCGTTTGAAATCAGATTACTATGTCTCATATACACATGATGGTTTTTTAATTCTACGAATCAAAGATCATAGGCAGTTTGAAATATGATTTTCTTGACTTACATACACATAATGGTGTTTTAATTCTAGGAATCAAAGATCAAGGTCGTTTGAAATATGATTACCTTGACTTATATACACATAATGGTGTTTTAATTCTAGAAATCAAAGATCACTGGCCATTTGAAATATGATTTTCTTGACTTATATACACATAATGGTGTTTTATGTCTAGGAATCAAAGATCAAGGCCGTTTGAAATATGATTACCTTGACTTATAAACACATAATGGTGTTTTATGTCTAGGAATCAAAGATCAAGGCCGTTTGTGTAATAGATTGAGTTAATTGTGAGGTCAAGGGAACGCACTCTTCTGTATTAGTTATATTTATAATATTGTTATCTTGAGTGATGTCCCTTGTGTACTTCCTTCCGTCCTCTCTGTGTGTTACCATCGTGATGTAGTTAGACCCAATAAATGTGTTATATACAACCACAGGCTTCTGTCGTCAATCTATTATAATTGGCGACGAAGGATAAACATCTACTAGAAAGAGCACCTACTTACGCAAAAAAGAGGTTTGCTAGAGCTTATTAGCTAATTATTTCTAGAATTATGGCGCTGTATGGCCAAATAAAAGAATTTGATGCGAATGATGAAATCATTCAAGATTACCTAGAGAGGTTAAGCTTTTACCTAGAAGCTAACGACGTGACGATAGAAGCCAAAAAGAGAGCTGTTTTGTTAACAGTCATAGGGCCTCAACAATTTAGGCTACTAAAAGACTTATGCGCACCAGCTAGTCTAACTACCAAGAGCTTTAACGAGCTGAGCAAATTGCTAACAGACCACCATGCGCCTACCCCATCAAAGTTTTTATGTAGAGCTAGATTTGACAGTAGGACTCGTCAACCAAACGAGTCAATATCAGAATATGTTGCTGCTTTACGTCATTTAAGTAGATTCTGTGAATTTGGAGAAACGCTGTCTGACAGATTATGTGAAAAGTTTGTGACAGGTGTAAACAGCCCTGATATTCAAAGAAAGTTGCTGCTCGAGTCAGATCTAAAATTGGAAAAAGCAATACAACTTGCAATGTCATTCCAGCAGTCATCAGATGCGGCGAGATCTTTAGCACCTTCAGAGATCCATGCAGTAAACAGCAGGTTAGTCAATAAACATCAACCCCATCAGAGCATTCCAACTTATGCTAAACACCCTGCTCGTTCAAATCCTAGATCTAAATCTAGTAATAATTATCAAAAATGTCATCGATGCAAAGGTCCCCATGCATCTCATCGGTGCAAGTTCAAGTCTGCAACTTGTTATAAGTGCAGTAAGCAAGGTCACATTGCCAAGGCCTGCTTCGCAAAGTCTTCGTCTGTTGCTAAATCTAGCCAGTCAAGACAGTACCGCAACCAAAGGCAGCACTATGTTAACTCTCACCAAGACTACCTAACCCAACCAATGAACCACTCTACCTGTGAAAATGCTCAAACTGATTCGCAGCCGGATTTCAACCTGTTCTCTGTGAAATCAATAAGTCATGCTCCCATCAATGTACCAGTTTATATAAACGGTAAGAGCATCAGCTTCCAACTTGACACTGGAGCATCACTAACAGTCATCACAAAGAAAGATTTTGACGCTGTCACAGGAGGATCAGTGTCTCTACAGCCGTGTCACAAGTGTCTAACAACATACACTGGTGACAAGGTTCCGGTAATAGGAGAGTGTATGGTTCATGTAAGTTATAATGGTCAAAGTGTTAAACTTCCTCTTCTTGTGGTTGAAGGAAATGGACCGCCATTACTAGGTAGGAACTGGTTAAGTGATCTTAAGTTAAATTGGGAGAGTATTTGTTCATTGAAGAATGTAAAAGAATCTAGTCTTACTTCACTAGATAAAGTTATATCTGAAAATAAATGTGTTTTTGGTAACTCAGGTTTACTAAATGATAGAACAGTGAAGTTAAGCATTAAAGATACAAATCCAAGATACTGCAAAGCTAGAGTTCCACCTTATGCAATGAGGAACAAAATTGAAAATGAGCTAAGTAGATTGGAATCTAATGGCATCATAAAGAAGGTAGACTATTCCGATTGGGCGACACCCATTGTGCCAGTGTTAAAGAAGGATGGTTCTATAAGAATTTGTGGAGATTATAAAACTACACTGAATAAGCAAATAGAGCTAAATAGGTACCCTATACCTAACATTGAGGAAATTTCTTTGAATTTGGCAGGAGGAGACAAATTCACTGAATTAGACTTTAGTCATGCTTACACTCAACTAGAACTGCATCCAGATTCAAAAGTCTATACGACAATAAACACACATAAAGGACTCTACCAATATGAAAGACTATGTTTTGGCATATCATCTAGCCCTGGAATTTTCCAAGCTGTCATGGACAGTATTTTTAAGGATATTCCAAATGTTTGTGTGTACTTTGACAATGTGTACATAACTGGTAAGAATGACACTGAACATCTTAAAACACTTGATAAAGTATTAAAAATTGTTGGTGAAAAAGGTTTAAAGATAAACAAAGATAAATGTCAATTCATGTTGACAGAAATTAGTTTTCTTGGTTATATATTAAGCAAGCAAGGCATCAGACCTCAACCTGAGAAAACAAAAGCCATTAAAGAAGCACCCAAATCTGAAAATACCCAACAACTAAGAGCTTTTTTTGGGCTTGATAAATTACTATGCAAAGTTCATAGGAAATCTGTCTGGTAAACTATCACCACTGTACAAGCTGCTACAGAAAAATGCAACTTGGCACTGGGGTAAACAACAAGAAGCTGCTTTTAATACAGCAAAAGAGGCTTTGTCTTCTGACACCTTACTAACTCACTATGACCCAGGGAAAAGACTTGTATTGACATGTGATGCTTCACCAGATGGTGTAGGAGCAGTCTTGTCCCACATGGATGAGAAGGGTGACAGACCCATTGCTTTTGCCAGTAGATCTTTGAATCAGGCTGAGAAAAATTATTCTCAGTTAGATAGGGAAGGCTTAGGCATCATTTTTGGTGTTAAGAAATTTCATAAGTTTCTGTTTGGTAGGAAGTTCACCATCTTTACAGATCATAAACCATTGCTAGGTTTATTTGGAGAAAACAAAACCCTACCTGAGCATGCCTCACCAAGAATTCAAAGATGGGCTATCACACTAACTGCATACAATTACGAATTGAAATACAAACCTGGATCTGAGAATAGTGCAGATAGTCTTAGTAGATTACCTTTAAAAAACCAGAGCCTGAGCTATGTACCAGAAGATGTATTTGTTCTCTTCACTATCATGGATAACTCCAATATAAATGTGAATGATATTAAGAGAGAAACACAAAAAGATGAGTGCTTAATAAAAGTATATGAGTACTGTAAGAATGGTTGGCCTGAAGAGTCTGTGAATGATGACTTAAAGCCATATAAAATAAGAAAAACAGAGTTAAGTCTAGAAGATGGATGTATACTATGGGGGTCAAGAGTAATTATCCCCAAAATGTTACAAAAAGAAGTTTTAAGAACTTTACATGATACTCATCTTGGTTCTTCCAAAATGAAGAGTCTAGCAAGATCATGGTTCTGGTGGCCACATATGGATGCTGATATTGAAAAATATGTAAAACTTTGTTCAAGCTGTGCACAACATTCAAATCAACCAGCTACAGCACCTTTGCAAAACTGGGACTGGCCAATCGAACCATGGAAACGTATACATATAGATTTCGCAGGACCTTTCATGAACAAAATGTTCTTAATTGTTATTGATTCACATTCTAAATGGTTAGAAGTTAAAATCATGAACACAATCACTGCAAATGATACCATTATAGAACTGAAGGAAATATTTTCAACTCATGGATTACCAGATCAAATTGTTTCAGATAATGGGCCTAGTTTCACAGCTCATGAGTTTAAACTGTTTTGTGTGGCAAATGGTATTGAGCATATAACCACATCCCCCTATCATCCTGCTGGGAATGGTTTGGCTGAAAGAGCGGTAGGCATATTCAAAACCGCTATGGTAAAAATGAATACCGGTAACAAGTTTTCTCTTAGAGAAAGAGTAAACAGGTTCTTAACCAAATACCGCACAACTCCTCATATAACAACAGGTGTTGCACCATGTGAATTGCTATGTGGTAGGAAAATTAAAACTCATCTTGACCTACTACATCCAACTGTTCAAAGGTCTGTTTCCCAACATCAACATACACAAAAAGTAAATCATGACAAATCATCCATTGAAAGAGAATTTGCAGTTAATGATAATGTGTATCTAAGAAATTATGGGAGAAAGGAAAAATGGATACCAGGTCAAATTGTTCAATGTACAGGACCTGTGTCTTATAAAGTAAAAACAAATGATGGACTTATTGTCCGTAGACATGCAGACCAGTTAAAAATAACTTGTGCAGATAATAAGTGTGAATCTATCAATCCCACCAAGTCTGATCAGTTCACACCAACTCAGTTTGTTCCACAACCAAGTTCTGTTGATATGAGTGAACCAAGTTGTCTGGAGTCAGAAAATGTAAATTCTGGAGTTAATGATTTAAATCCTAGACCTCCTGAGATAGAGAATCCAGATGGTCAGAATCTTGAGTCACCAAATCAGAAGCCACTGAGAAGGTCAAGCAGGACAATCAAAGTCCCAAATAAGTTAGACCTATGATTTTAAAGGTCAAAAGGACTTTGACATCATTGTTTTGTATTTTGATTATGTTGTAGCATATTGTGCATTGTTTGTAAGGATGTAATCTACCATAGTGTTCATGTTACAATATAATTGGTGATTTTAGGATACTATCAATTGTTCTATTGAGAGATGTGTTATTGTGTTCTAAGGGTAAAGGGATGTAATAGATTGAGTTAATTGTGAGGTCAAGGGAACGCACTCTTCTGTATTAGTTATATTTATAATATTGTTATCTTGAGTGATGTCCCTTGTGTACTTCCTTCCGTCCTCTCTGTGTGTTACCATCGTGATGTAGTTAGACCCAATAAATGTGTTATATACAACCACAGGCTTCTGTCGTCAATCTATTATAGTTTGAAATATGATTACCTTGACTTATATACACATAATGGTGTTTTATGTCTAGGAATCAAAGATCAAGGCCGTTTGAAATATGATTACCTTGACTTATATACACATAATAGTTTTTAATTCTAGGAATCAATCAAAACAGGTTGTCTAAAATCTGATGGACCTTAAGAACAACAGCTGGACAGGATCGATCTCAACTCCGATTTTGGAATTGTTTTCTCTTGCCTTTTAATACAGTGAAAGATAAATAGTTATCTATATTGACTATATAGTTGGCTCCCAGGACAAGCACTCTTGTCAATTAATTGTGGTACACTTTGATAAATGACAACTCTGGATTATTCATTCATGTAAGAAAACAGAGGTTACTTTAGTAGCTTATGATAAATAATGAAGGTCTATCTATATAAAAGTAATTATTTTTGTATAAACATAATTATCCAAGCCAGTTTTATCTTGTTAATTAGTATCATGAGCATAGACCAAGCATTTGATTGTGCAAAATCACATTTAGCATGCTAAATTTAAAAAAAAATGAATTTATCAGGTTAAGTTTTTTTTTAAATGTTAGTAGCTAAAATCAATGTATTTTTTCTGCTAATCATATATGTAGACCAACACAGATTTGTGTACACAAACATGAGGGTGTAAGAACTTACCCTATCCTGAGTGATGTCATTCCCTGACTTGAGTAGATCCACCTTCAGATCTTTGACATTCAAGTAGACAATAGAGTTGGGTTCACCTTCTACTATCAGGTCAACATCTTCACCTGGCTCCACTTTTTCTTTGCTAAATCTTATGTTCACCTGAATAAACATAGGTAAATTTTACGTTCACCTGAATAAACATAGGTAAATCTTACATTCACCTGAGTATAGAGGTATAGACAGGTAAATCTAACATTCACCTGAATAAACATAGGTAAATCTTACATTCACCTGAGTAAACAAAGGTAAATCTTACGTTCACTTGAATAAACATAGGTAAATCTTACATTTACCTGAATAAACATAGGTAAATTTTACATTCACCTGAATAAACGTAGGTAAATTTTACATTCACCTAAATAAAGATAGTTAATTATACAGTTTAAAAAAATTAAAACAGGCAAATGTATCAGCTATATATAAAATATTTATAATTTTTATTAATATAAATCATTCCCCAACACACATACTCTCATACCCATTCAGTACACAGAAATATGATTCATAACAGTCTGTCTAGAAGTAAAGGAAAATCTTTTCATAATTGTTCAACAGCAGCATCTTAAAGTTATCAATGACCAAGTTCATGCAGAGAGAGAAAGGATGGTGTTGGGTATTTCTAAACTTTGTCTTAAACCCCCTTGTGGGTACTATAGGTTTATTTATAAATAATATGTGTATTTTGTTATAGATTAGAGACAATTTTTCGGGGCTTAAAATTTTTTTGGGTACTGGGTCAAGCCCACTCTGCCTCTGTATTTGTGAGCCTCACAAATCTTACCTTCTTCTGGAACAATCCATCGACACTGAGAGAAATCTCATCCGCCACAAACTCAGAGTTGTCCTTCCTGAGGTAAAACACAATTAGGTTCAACTTTGGTGCCATCTCTTGGGTCACAGTGAACTGAAAGGTTATAACCTTTGACCCATCTGGACTGGCAGAGTCAGCAACCCCAGAGGTCACCAGCTTTCCTTTGGAGTAAACCTATGCAACAAAAAGTACACAAAGTTTCAATATAACGAACTAATTTGATTTCTTTGGGAAAATTAAAAGTTGATCAAATTAACCCAATATGGATTTGTTGTGTTTTGAAATACTAAAAGTTTATTAAATAAACACCATTTGGTTGGAGTCTATGTTTAGTAAGTATTTGATTGAAGGGCTAATTTCTGGCTTAAATTTAGCTAGATTGAGATAAGCTTTGGGACAAGAGTTAAAGTTTTAGGTTTAGGTTATAGTTATAGTTACATAAGACACAGCAAAGACTTTATTAATGTAGTAAAGCTTATCAAACAGAAAAATATGGTTTTATTGGTAAAGATATATTAAAATGAGTTTTTAAAGTTGAATATCTGGAAACTTTTTTTATCTGAAAACAGCTACAATCCTGAATTTGTGAATTCCTACCTGGTAATTTAAATTTTTTATCAACTCAGTTGCCTCTGCAGTTACAGTAATTTGATCTCCAACCTGCAAAATAAAATAAACTTCTCTCTAAACAAAATCTATATATATAATTCTCTTCTGGGATCAGTTAGAAAACAAGCTGCAAGCGCGCCTTTGCAGTCCCCTCTCTTCCTCTCTATCACTATCACTACCACCCCCACCCCACCCCCACATGATCTGGTGAGCGGTGTTCACTCTGTTTACATTTTACAATCATAGAGACGGGTTTGGTGACGGCTATTAGGGGCAGATAATTGAGTTTGAAACGATTTTAAACTTAGAGGAGGTAACTAATAGGAGGCTGCTTTCACGTGGGGGGGCAGGGGGGGTTAGTGTTTTTAAGCAAATATTTTCAATGGCAGCATTGGTACTGTCGAATTCACAAATTATAAATTACTGAAAAGTAGAAAAAAAAAACAACTAAATAGCGGCGTATGATACGCAGCGGGTCGGCTCGTTTAAAATATTTCCTTTGAAAAAATTACTTTTTGATCATTAAACCTAATGAACATAAACTATAATTTAATCTTATACTTTGTTATTGAAATTACAAATGTTCATGTTGCCCCTTCTTTACGCAGTAACATTTATCTTGCAGAGTTATGCTTCTTTGCTAAACTCTCATGTGAAAAGAGTACCATTTCTGAACATGGTGGATAGAGTTGGGGTATACAAATAGAATTATGAAACAGTCAATTAATTTAATTCCACATTTATAACCCAAGCATGGGCTGTGTGGTTGGGTGGTAGTACATGTGACTGCTAACCCAAAGTCTCAAGAATGTTTCTGAGCCCAACCAGCTGTGACAAGTACCTGACTGACAATTCGGGAATGTAAAAGTGGCTGGGCATAGTGCTGAGTACACTTTCCCTTCATATGCTTAGTTCACAAAAAACAGGTGAACTCTACTTCACTTGCCCCAAGTTCTGACAGGTTCATAAAGGTAAATTTATGTCCCTAGTAGACCATCAGCTCATAAACCTTGCAAATTTATAGAAATAATAGCAAGTAGTATTAGAAATTAGTTAAATTTTATGACACTAGTAAAGTAAATATTGACTTTTAGTTACATTTTATGACCCTAGTAAAGTAAAGATTGACTTTTAGTTACAGTTTATGACCCTAGTAAAGTAAATATTGACTTTTAGTTACATTTTATGACCCTAGTAAAGTAAATATTGACTTTTAGTTACATGTTATGACCCTAGTAAAGTAAAGATTGACTTTTAGTTACATTTTATGACCCTAGTAAAGTAAAGATTGACTTTTAGTTACATTTTATGACCCTAGTAAAGTAAAGATTGACTTTTAGTTACATTTTATGACCCTAGTAAAGTAAAGATTGACTTTTAGTTACATTTTATGACCCTAGTAAAGTAAAGATTGACTTTTAGTTACAGTTTATGACCCTAGTAAAGTAAATATTGACTTTTAGTTACATTTTATGACCCTAGTAAAGTAAAGATTGACTTTTAGTTACATTTTATGACCCTAGTAAAGTAAAGATTGACTTTTAGTTACATTTTATGACCCTAGTAAAGTAAATATTGACTTTTAGTTACATTTTATGACACTAGTAAAGATTGACTTTTAGTTACATTTTATGACCCTAGTAAAGTAAATACTGACCTTGGGCTTCCCCGTGGCAACTTGGAGCTGGAGATACGAGTTGGAAGGTGACCCAGCCTTGCTCAAATACCTGTAGCTTTGATCAGTGAACGGTTGCTGGAGCTGAGCTTCGATGTTCACACTGGCAGCCTCTTCAGGGACATTGAAGGTCAAGGTTATCCATCCAGTTTCTGGGAGGGCCCTAAGCGGGTCGCTGAGTGTCAATATTTTTGTTTTGGTCTCAGAGTAATATGGTATGTATGGGCGGCCGACAACTGTAAAGCAAAATATTTTATAAATAGATTATTATGTAGGCGTATATGATAACAGTTTTATTTTTAAACAGCTAATCAGTATTGTTTATATGTTAGGATTTAGTAATTCCTGTCAACAAAGACAAACAAACAGGATTTTAAAAAATTACTTGTTTAATATAAATAAAATACTATCAGTTGATATGGATAAAGACCATGAAAGTAGTTTTATATGTGGAACATGTAAGTAGGTCAAGTACATAGGTTAACATGAATAACAAATGAATAACAGTTTAATATATCTTGCAAGTCGAGCAGTTAAAAAAAGCAGACGTAAAACTGACAGTCAAGTAGTTTAGGTTAAGTTAAACTAATAGGTTAGTAGATCAAATAAAAATAACAGGTGTGTAGATTACATAAAATGAATGGATACAGAAAAACAGGTAAATTAAAAGGTAAGTAAAAAAAAAAGTCTCGAGTTCAACCGTCTGGCAGATAAGGCTCAATCCCTTCCAACACTAAAAATTAAGAACGAAGAAGAAGAAGAAAAGGTAAGTAGATCAGGTAAAACAAACATGTAACAAGAGCAGGTAAAAAACAATGGTCTACTAACATTTGGCAGCAGCATCTGAGGTGGTATTGTCAGGTGATTCTGTGCTGGTCGACCTGTTGTATTTCTCATCCAGTTCTTCCTTGGTCAGCTTGACCTCGTAGGTTACATTAAAAAACACTTTCACCTGTTTGGCCTCCTCAGTGGACAGCAGGGCCCCATCTCGCTTCTTGACCTCCAGCTGCAAACATCCAAATACTATAACACAACAGTCCTGCTATTTAAACTTTTCGTGTTTTTATTTTACCGACTGATCCTTAAGTTAACAATATGTTATGGTCTAGCCATAAATTGGTTATATTTGATTATAAAATAAATAAATATTATGAATAACATCACCCACCACCCTAGACTTATCTAGTAATATAACATACTTTTAGTCTGATTATGTTCATTGACCAAAGTATACTAACATTATAGATATACTCATGAGCTTGGAAATACAATGATAATGTTACTAAAATTGCAAACTAGAACTACTTAGAAGGGCTTAGCTTTTAAAGTACAATTATATATATATATATATATATATATATATATATATATATATATATATATATATATATATATATATATATATATATATATATATATTTATTTATTTATTTATTTATTTATTTATTTATTTATTTATATAGTCTGTGCATGTGTCTGTGTATGTGTATGTGCATTTGCATGTGCATGTGCATGTGCATGTTTTATTGTATATATACTTCAAAATTATCACTTAATATTTCAGTAATTCAGATAATTTTAGGCAACACCATTTGATATATTTTGCCTCTTATTTCTAACTAAACTAACTTACATATCCAGTGTACAAAAGTCCAGGTTTAAAACTGCTAGGTGATATTTCAAGGAACTGCGCACTGACTGGGCTGTTGTAGTACTGTACGCTTGCTGTGGCAGACTGAACCCGCCCAGTGCTATCCTCTGTGACATTAGCCACTATCTTGAATGTCTGCCAGTCAAGGGATGCGGGGGAGTAATGGGACGATTTGGTCAAGTCCAGCAGCTGTTTAGTGCTCAGTTCAAATGTAGCTTCACCTTTTGCATTCAGCTGCAATTGAAATTACATTTTTTAGTCAACTTAAACATAGACAGATGAGTAGCTGTTACATGAATATATATAGGCCTATATATGTATATATATGTATAAATGTATACATATTATATATGTATATATATATATATATATATATATATATATATATATATATATATATATATATATATATATATATATATATATATATATATATATATATATATATATATATATATATATATATACATATCTAGGCCTATATATAAGTTATATTATGACATACTAGCAGAATATTAAATGAAAAATTAAAAAAAAAACAAGTTTATAGCATGTAGTGATGTTATGGATGAAGGATATATTTAAGATGAAAACATTAATCAACTCATGTTAATGTTGAAGTGATTATTTGAAAGATGAATGTAATGTAATTGCATGAAATGTAAAATAAACATATAGTAGTAGGTAAAATCTAAAAAAAATTAATAAACAAAGTGAATAGTAATTATATTAGTCCAAATCATCAATTGTTACAAATTTTGCTCAGGAGAAAATGGTCTGTGGACCAATGTTAGCTAACTAGGTTGTAATGTTATATCATTTATATAGGATATTACATTAACTTAAAGATTAAATGTACTATAAATAACAGCTTGGCTTAAAAATAACGATACATACAGTAAAAAATGTAATTTCCTTAATGTGAGATATAATAAGTTATTTTTTATAGAAATTTAAGAATGATAGCCCACTCAAGTGTTCAGATAATTTGTATCCTGTGCTTTACTCTTACAACATGTGAGACAATTTGATATTTCAATAATTTCATAAGTTTACGGGAAAAATAAGGGGAGAAACTTCAGTGTGACAAAAGGGAAGGAACTCTCCTTTAGCACAAATAGTTGTAGACACGTTTGTGTATCAATAAAAAAAATAAAAAGTGAAAAATAATCAGCAAACTTCACTATTCAAAAAATAAATAGAGAAATGTGTAGAAGCTAACATTTATTATAAAAGAAAATGAGGAAAATGAGAATAAAAAGGGCTGTAATTCTAGGGTCATTTCTGCAGTATTATTATAGAGTTATCCAATGTTTCAAATGCAATATTTACAGCATGATGCAGATAATTAAAAAGTTGGTAATTTGCTTTAAGTCCGTAAAATCGGCCGCTGCTTGTAATGTACGAAAAAGTTACCTCATTGTCAAGGCTTTAACAGAAGTATATTGTGAAATATTTGTGTCAAATATTATAGTTTATAGATAACTGAATAATAAACCAAAATCAATGGCTAAATAGATTCTATATCAATATAGGCCAGAAATTAACTTTAAAGTTTTTGCGATCAAGATTTGCTAAATAAACAACAGCCAATTGTAAAACAGAGTGGCTTTCCCTGAATCTCCCGCTATAAGTTTAACAAAATAAAACGCAAGATGGCTACTAGATCTATAGTAAATGAGCATGGTTGCATCTGATGAAAACATCGTTAGTCTTCATTTATTAGTGAAAAATTTTAATTCAATTGTTTAAAAACTTTTAAAATCAGGTACATAAATGAAACAAGGACACATTTTTGTATTTTTCAAAACATAAATCCTCATCAAAATGTGAAATAATTATTAAAATTTAAGGAGTCACCTGTTTTTCATATTACTAGATTCTAGTCGTGGGCGATTTTACATAGATCTATCTAAAACGACAGATTACCAAATAATCTTATCTCTCCACACACAGGACGAAAACACCTGTGATACATAACCTGTATAGGGTAATCCAAAAATGACGTCACGCTCGTAGGGGGGAGGGGGGGGGGGGGTCCGTAATTTTGTGACGATGTGTGATGAGTGGGAGGGGGGGGGGGGGTTCAGATGTTGATAGGTCACATTTTTACATTATAAAAAAGCAATGTTAGAAAACGAATTTTAGACGTTATTTCGCGTTTTAGATAACTGTTTTAATAAATTGTAATAATTTAGACAAGATTTTGGAAAAATATCGATGTTTTAAAAAAATTCAACTGCAATTTTGAGGGGGGGTTGTAGGTTGAGGTGTGACGTCATTTTAGGGGTGGGGGGGAGGTCTGGCTGTTTGTGACGACGTGCGACGAAGGGGAGGGGGGGGGGGGGGGGGTAAAAATCGTCAAAAAAAAGCGTGACGTCATTTATGGATGACCTCTATGTCTACAATAAACCTGTGTTAATAAATATACAAGTCACCTGCACAGTGTAAACTTACCTTGCCTGTCAGGTTGATGGCCGGCGTGAGAGGTTCGTAAACATAGCTGGCTGCTATGGTAACCAACACAGCTGCCTGTGTGACTGGCTGGCCAAACGTGTAGCTGGGAGACAGAAGTTAACACAGTAGAGTATCTCTTAAATCTTAAAATATAAACATCGTGGGCGTTCTAAACGTGTAGCTGGGATACAGAAGTTAACACAGTAGGGTATCTCTTAAAATATAAACATAGTGGGCGTTCTAAACGTGTAGCTGGGAGACACGTTAACACAGTAGGGTATCTCTTAAAATATAAACATCGTGGGCGTTCTAAACGTGTAGCTAGGAGACAGAAGTTAACACAGTAGGGTATCTCTTAAAATATAAACACCGTGGGCGTTCTAAACGTGAAGCTGGGAGACACGTTAACACAGTAGGGTATCTCTTAAAATATAAACATCGTGGGCGTTTTAAACGTGTAGCTGGGAGACAGAAGTTAACACAGTAGGGTATCTCTTAAAATATAGAATAGAGTTTACAACTAAACCCGAAAGTCTCGAGTTCAGATCCCTAGCTCGAGTTTGTAGAACGTCCTTGAGTTCACCCAGCCCTGATTGGGACCTGACTCATGTTAAGGCGGCTCGGCATTGTGCTGACGACACTATCCCTCATACGCCAAGGTCAGTGAAACAGATGAGCTCTACTTCATCTGCCCCGTGTGTCTTGGGCACGAAAGGGAAAATATAATGAATAGTTTTAAAACATAGAAATAAAGATATCTATTTTTTAGGCTCGTGCGCTAGAAGTAGAACGGAAGAAAATGTAAATTATGGGATAAAATACATACGTGGCCTTGATAGTGATGGGCAGGGTTGGGTCATAGGTCACACCAAAAGATTTGGTTTGGATTTGAACTTCGTATGTCGGTAGAACTAGAAAAATATCAGCATACACATCAGAGTTTAATACGTTTTAATATGACAGTTTATTACATAAAAAAATAGCACGCACGATTTTGTGCATCTAATTCTGTACGGCTACACCTGTCTTTCAAGGGCTCCAAAAATGTTTTTATAGCCATAACAAAATTGTCCTCATGTAGTCTTCAAAACAGTTTAGTAATATCCCATGTTATTAGAAGCATAAATAGCCTTAAAAACGTAATTATCTTACGTAAATTACGATATATTCTAACAACTTACCATAATTATCTACCGTAAATGTTTTCTTCTCCTCAATACCCTGGTTGTAAAAAAGGTAAATGTCAAATTTGACAAGCGACTATATTACATATACTTTAACAAGATGATTAAAATCAAAATCACTGGCAATTTTTTAAATTATTTCATTATGCAAATGTTATAATCCCTCAAGACCATCTCCTGTGAATTCACTCCCCCGATACGAACCCTCATTATGTCATTTATAAATTCCCTCCCCTTATACGTACCTTCATAGTGAGGCTTATCCTAAGAAATTCCCTCCCACGATACGTACCTTCATTGTGACATTTATAAATTCCCTCCCCTGATACGTACCTTCATTGTGACATTTATCCTATAAATTCTCTCCCTTGATACGAACCTTCTTTGTAACATTTATCTTATAAATTCTCTCCCTTTATATTACCATCACTGTAACATTTATCCTATAAATTCCCTCCCCTGATACGTACCTTTATTCTGACATTTATCCTATGAAATTCCCTCCCCTGATGCAAACCTTCATTATGACATTTATAAATTCCCTCCCCTGATACGTACCTTCATTATGACATTTATAAATTTCCTCCACTGATACGTACCTTCATTGTGACATTTATCTTATAAATTACCTCCCCTGACACGTACTTTCATTATGACATTTATAAATTCTCTCCCCTGAAACGTACTTTCATTATGACATTTATAAATTCCCTCCCCTTATACGTACCTTCATGGTGACGCTTATCTCCCAGTCTCCCGTCGGGGTGATGTCTGCTAGTTTTAGCGACAACTGATCAACGCCGCCAGCCGAGGAGTCAACCAAATTTAACCATTGCCTGATCCTGTTCCCTTTGGCATCCTTGAAAGACAAAATGTTGTACCGTGTTAAAAATATGTAGGCCTAATGCTTGATTGTGTTGGAGGAAACACCGTCCATCATTACATTTAGGAACGAGGAAAAAAGAAGAGGATTCCACAAAGAAAGATGATAACTTTGAGAGAATTAGCTTAGTACCGACATATATAGCAGACAATGGGGAATAAAAGTAAGTTAAGTGGTTTATTCAATGTTAAATTACAATAACATAAATTGCGGATGTATTCTTGCTCTTTCAAATAAATCGCGTTGCAATGTTGCAATGATAGAGAGAGGTCACGTGACCAAAAATAAATTAGATTAGAGTTCGATTGTAATAGCCATGTCAACGCTATTTTGTTGGGTGTGGTCTTTAAGAGAAAAGAGACGAAATTGTGGATGATTAAGAAAACAAACCGGGAGTGATTTCCCCTAAACTTTCTCGAATATTTTTTTTTATAATACTACGGGGCATAGCTACTCGGGATATAAACAATATTTTAAATCCATTTTATTTTTTAAAATCATTTCTCTATCTGAAATAGTACTAAAGTAATAGGCTTTTGAAAAATTGAAAGTAGAAAAAGTTCCACTTCCGGTCAGAGGCGTAGCGACCCTTCCCGGCGCCCGGGGACAAACTTTTCGATTTGCACCCCCCCTCCTTTCAAGATTTCGATTTGCACTCCCCCCCCCCCCTCAAACTTTCGATCAAACATTCGATTTGCACCCCCCTCAACCTTTCAATTTATTTTTCCAACCCATTTTGGCGCCCACTAAGGTCGGCGCCCAGGGACATATGTCCCCCCGCCCCCCCCACCCCCCCCCCCCCCCCCCCTCGCTACGCTACTGCTTCCGGTTAATGGAAGTCGCTGAAAAGTTGATACAGATCTACAAATTTGATATAACCTAACTGTAACGGTACTAAGTTATCCTGTTCAAAGACACACACACACACAAACACACACACACACACACACACACAGACATACGGACAAGATTGCAAAACTATGTTTTTTTCGACTCAGGGAGGTCTAAAACGTCGAGATTTGCACACTAAAAAATTTTTAACGATTACAACACTTTCTCTATACGAGAAAGTAAAAATAAGTATGTTTAAAAAAAGTTATTTAGAGAAATAAATCCTCTTCAGATTAGAATTGTAGTGCTAAAGGAATTGAGTACGATCTAAAGGTTGACTCATGCATATGTAAACAAATAAATAACATGTATTTTAAAGGGAAGTTAAACAAATAAAAAGCAGGTGTTTTAAAGTGAAATTAAACAAATAAACAACAGGTGTTTTAAAGTGTGAAGTTAAACAAATAAATAGCAGGTGTTTTAAAGTGAAGTTAAAGAAATAAATAACATGTATTTTAAAGTATAGTTAAATTAATAAAATGTATTTTAAAGTGAATTTAAACAAATAAATAACAGGTATTTCAAAGTGGAATCAGCACATACCTTGATGATGACGTCCTTAGTCTCGTTCCTGATAACTTTTAAATCTGGCGTCACGGCGAGGATTCTAAAACTGACTGAAAACAAGATCGATCTTAAATAAGCTGTTATCCTAAATTCCTAACCATTAAAAAAAAGTCGTTTTAATTTGTGCGAAAATGTAGAGCAATAACCAATACGTTTATTAAAACAAGTTTTAAATGTATCTTGATGTAGTTTTAAAACACCTAGGGATATGTTATTCAATGCATAAGGAATTAAAAGAAACATTATTTTAGAAGGAGTGAGTGGTACCCTGAATTCTGCTTGTGACACGATTTTCAACGACTTTTAACATCTTGCCCCATAGTATAAACTGCTAATTTTTCCATTAACAGGGAGGGGCTGTCGTACCCCCGCACCCCCACTCAAGACGCCATTTCTAAATACCACAACACATTGTAAAAAAACCGAAGCACCATAACCCACCTGTTTGCCCCGGCTTGTACATTGCTTTGTCTGTCTGTATGAAAATTGAAAAAGCTTTCTGTTCCAAGTTGAGATAATTCTCGCTCTTGAAGTTGACGGCATTACCTTCCCCTGTCACTATCACTTTGTACTGATTTAACCATTCGTTTTCCTCGCTGGGTTTTGGCAGGTTGTAAGGGACCTAGGACAAAAACAAAATATTTATTTTCTTAAAACAAAATTTAAAAAAAAGTTTGAAAAGTGTTTAAAATCGCTTCCCATCTGTTCTTTTGTTTTACCTAGGCCCAGGGGTGGTCTGGCTGTGTTCAAGGCCCGGGACATTTTTAAAGATTGAAATTTTTAATGAGCGTTTCTCTCTCTTTCAATGCCTAAACTTTGCGAGTTGGCATGGGGAAATAGTAAAATACCAACATTTAAAAAAAATTCAAAACTCTATTGGGACTATTACAGCACCGTTCTTGGGGGGGGGGGGGGGGGGGGGCACACCGAGATTGCTTCCTTGTAGACCGGCGGGCCAGTCTATCCCTGTTTGGGATATTGAACCGGACACAGAAAACCAGTAGTTCGAATATGGAATTTTTTGTTCTCTGAATGTGAAGTACTACTTAAATTATAAATATATTTTTCTTTACTTAAGAATAAGCGGTTTCACGTTTTCAAGGGTTAAAAATCAAAGCCTTGTACTTACATCTACTGAAATCTCCTTTACAACTGAAACATAAATTGTATTCACGTTAAACGAAAGACCATTTGGTTTTTATTTTATTTTTTAATGGTCAACTATCTAGATCAATTTCGTTATAATACCAGTTTAAAATATTTGTCTATTGGCATTTCATAAATTAAAAAATAATTTTAAAAAATAAAATAAAACATGAAATGTAACAGTTATTTAAACACATGTTACTTTAACCAAAATTATTGGAAAGGAGATATTTAATTTTTTGTTTGTTTTAAAAGTCACGAGCGATTTGATAAGATGGGAATTTGTTGAAAGTCGGGTACTGGTAGCAACAGGACTCCCAACTTATTTTACCAAGCTTCAAAAATATTTATTGATATTAGCTTGAAAACTTCTGTTGTCGTTTATTTTGAAACTGAGTTGTTCTAATATGTGTGCATTGCGGTTTTTTTCAAGGTTTGATTACTGAAGTTCCTTCTGTGAAGTGTGTTAGGTTTTTATTTCTATGATTTGTGCATTGATGTACTTTTTAAGATGTGTGCATTTTTAAACGAACGTATTGGAATTGAAATTTACTCACACGACCTCAAGCTTAGAGCACATGCAACAACATACTCACCCCCGGGGTACACGGCCGTTGGGGTACTCAACAGCAGTGTTTTGGTCCCGTCGTAATTCGTTAAGCTGAGGGTCACCGTGACCGGGTCAGTGCCAATCAGGACACTGCAGGTCATTTTAATAGGCTGGCCGGGTCTAATCCTGCTGGGCAGGGTGATCCAGTAGGTGGCGTTCTTCGGTGGTTCCGGTGTTGTGGACACCATCCCCTCTGTGATTGGTGTCACCTTTTCAAAACTATAGGATGAATTCGATTATTGAAACTGATGGTGATTGAAATTTAATCAAAACATAGAAAGCCCACTAGTATAAAATGGTTCTAATCGATTACATTTATCTTTTTTTCCTATTATATTTCTGGTACCGAAGACAACGCTTCCTTAACTCCTAAAGATAGGGTTAGTATATTTTCTTAAGCCCGAAAAAAAAAGATAAAAAGTAATTTTACAAATCCCTTTCACAAATCTTCTTTTAGCTAAACTAATATAAAAGATGAAAAACATCCCATTCGAAGTAAATATTTTTACGGCATATGCCCTAGTAATTTTTTTAAAGTGTTGCTTTCATATATTTTGTTATATTAACAATGATAGAAACAAACTTATTTACAGTGCTAGAGCACATACAAATATTTTTAGAGTACTCACTTTTGGGCGTAGACTGCAGCCATTATGGCTGCAAGCAGCCATACGTTCCGCATGTCTAGACTCATCCTCTGAAATATGTACATAATAGACGCTTTCTATACATTATATATTATTCAAAAAATTCACCACACTCAACCACACAACATAATGAAAGTTTTACATAAAGGACAGCAGTCTTTTAAACAAAATATCCGATGTGTTGCATGAATTTAATATCTCTAAACGAAATTTTCTAAACGAATCGTTCGATATGAGCTAACCAAGCTAAAATAAATTAACATAAATCTAAAGTCCACACGTGACGTGGCGTATAAGATAATTAATTGGGTTATAATGAAAATGTTTGATCTCAAATAGTATATATATATATATATATATATATACATATATATATATATATATATATATATATATATATATATATATATATATATATATATATATATATATATATATATCTCAAGTTAAGCTAGACAAAAATGTCCAAGTAATATATTTTACGTCAGGTTGTATATGTAATGTATAAATTAACTATTTAGCGATCTGAGTCAAATGTCTTTAAGATGTCCTCCAAATTGTGCACCAAATTATATACTTTTGAATAATTTTTTCTTTTGTCCGTAGGATATATTTCAGAGGGTAAAACAGATGCTATTTCAACAAATCAAATAGGTTTTACTAATAATCCAAATAACCTATTTAGTATTTTAAATGCATTAATAAATGTCCACGGGAAAATTTAAATCGAGTGCATTAAAAGTCAATGATATATATATATCTATATATATATATATATATATATATATATATATATATATATATATATATATATATATATTATCACCACCTGTTTTTAACATTTAGTTTATAAAGTGTAGTTCAGTAATTCACAGTTTATAAAATCCAAACTAGAAACAAACCTGGTGGAATGTGTTCTTAATCCACAGGGCGGCTAGTCTTAAAGTACAAAACACATCAGACGAAGACAGACAAAATCTATATCTCTGGTGATCCTACCGAGACAGACTTACAGACTATATCTATTTCTGTTAAAGATCCTAGAGCTGAAATCCTAGCTCGGCAAAGACGTCACGGGTCACGTGGCATATAGGGTGACGTTATTTTTAGTAGCACTTATTGTTTACATCTGTGACCTTCCCGTCCTGCCATTTAGTTTTGATAGTCCTTAATCAACCCTCGGGCGGACATAGAACTCTACACAAAACAAACTATTAAGTTAATTTAGTTCGAATGTTCATGAAATCTACTACATTATAACTTTCTAAGTACTTCGCACTTAACTTTACAACGAAGTGTGTTAAGATTTAGCCTCGAATATTGAATGCAACCCAATTCAGCTGAATTAAAAATAGATCTATTCAAGTTGAGTTTGGCTAGCCTCGCGCTACCTATAGAAATGGTGCTGTATTGGGAGGATATAAACAACATACAGAAAAAACGAGGCTCTGTCTGAATCTACACATTGATACACGTTGGTCAGGTGGGTTGTGGTCGCTAGATTAATGCATAAGGTGATAGAATTGAAGCTATGTGAGGGAGTGTGAGACACAGAATGTATATGTGGCAGCATAAGACTGAGAGACTGTATCTTAACATTTTGAATGAGTTTGGTCAGTATAAATATACAGGCACTGTAAAACAACATTTAAAAGGCAGTGTGATACAACATCTACACCAGTGGTGTGATACATCTACACCAGTAGTGTAATACATCTACACCAGTAGTGTAATACAACATCTACACCAGTAGTGTATACATCTACACCAGTAGTGTGATACAGCATCTACACCAGTAGTGTATACATCTACACCAGTAGTGTGATACATCTACACCAGTAGTGTGATACAACATCTACACCAGTAGTGTGATACAACATCTACACCAGTAGTGTGATACAACATCTACACCAGTAGTGTGATACATCTACACCAGTAGTGTGATACAACATCTACACCAGTAGTGTGATACAACATCTACACCAGTTGTGTGATACAACATCTACACCAGTAGTGTGATACATCTACACCAGTAGTGTGATACAACATCTACACCAGTAGTGTGATACAACATCTACACCAGTAGTGTAATACATCTACACCAGTAGTGTAATACATCTACACCAGTAGTGTAATACATCTACACCAGTAGTGTAATACAACATCTACACCAGTAGTGTAATACAACATCTACACCAGTAGTGTATACATCTACACCAGTAGTGTGATACAACATCTACACCAGTAGTGTGATACAACATCTACACCAGTAGTGTGATACAACATCTACACCAGTAGTGTAATACATCTACACCAGTAGTGTATACATCTACACCAGTAGTGTGATACAACATCTACACCAGTAGTGTGATACATCTACACCAGTAGTGTAATACATCTACACCAGAAGTGTAATACATCTACTCCAGTAGTGTAATACAATATCTACACCAGTAGTGTAATACATCTACACCAGTAGTGTAATACATCTACACCAGTAGTGTAATACATCTACACCAGTAGTGTGATACAACATCTACCTGTTTGTTACAACATCTATCACTGTAATATAACATCTTAACGGCAATGTGATACAGAATCTGTTTTTATACGACATATATACCAGCAGTGTGATACAACATCAGTGTGTACAACATCAATCACTGTGTACAACATCTCTATCGACTGTGTGATACAACATCAATCTATGCGATACATAGTACCCGTGCCAGTGTCAGCAACGTATTCGGCCGGCAACTAAGCAACCGGACGGCAACATCGTAGTCCGGTCCACAACAAGTGTGTTACAACATCAATGTGATACAACATCTATCAATGTGATACACCATCTATCAATGTGATACACCATCTATCAATGTGATACACCATCTATCAATGTGATACACTATCTATCAATGTGATACAACATCTATCAATAAGATACAACATATATCAGTGTGATACAGCATCAATCAGTGTGTACAACATCAATCAGTGTGTACAACATCAATCAGTGTGTACAACATCTATCAACGTGATACAACATCAATCATTGTGATACAACATCAATCAGTGTGTACAACATCAATACATAACATGCACCAGTTATGTAATGTCAACACACCATGTCTTGATCAAATAACCATCTCATTAATTTTTAAATCGACAATCTATTTAAAAAATGGATGACAATAAACGCAATCAAGTGGAAAGTTTCAACGACCTCCAAAAAGCTATTAGCAGCTATTTTCATAACATGTTTTGCAATGCGTTTTATAATCAGCCATGCGTAACGGTTATAATTTTGGCTTCTTTTGTAAAACGAAATGGAAAATAAATTCAGTAACGAGTGGGAGGAAAAATAAAATTATATTTATATGGTGATTTTAATAGTAGGTTAGCATATGTGATAACACGTTTCGATAAGGGGGGGGGGGGTGGATTCATTCGCTGAAATAACGTGAATTAGATATGGGCGAGACCTAATATATTTACAAACAACCCAAACCACCCTTAATTATTTATTTATTTGTTGTTTTTTTTTTGGGGGGGGGGGGGACCCTTTGTCACACACTTGGTAGAAAGAAGCATTCCAAAGAACTGCTGCATGTTTATTGTATTGATCAGTTAAATGGAATTTACACAGCCTCACAGAATACGCAAATAACTACTGCCAATCTATCACATATCGATTACTAAAAGCCAACCTACAACCTCACAAAATAACATCATGAACTGTGTTTACCACCAAGTTCAACTTTCTCCTTCCAAGGCCACCTTTACAAATGGTGTAAGGTCAAAGGTCACCCTAATGTTGTTATGTAAAGCACGTTTTGGCCAAACGTACCTCCGTATTTACACGGAGCCGCGAATCAACACTTCACCGTACAAGACCACGTGACCTGACGAATGTATAGGCCTACAGTTAACTTGGCGGCAAGCTCTTCACAAACGAGAGTTTAAAAACTGTTGGTATTGGGTTTCTTGCTATATCGCATGACATTAATCATAGATGTCGCATTAATAAACCGGGAGTGATCTCCTCTGAGCTTTCTCGAATATTCTAATATAACACTACGTGGGATGGCAACTCGGAATATAGACATGATTTTTATTTACTTAAACTTTTAAAAATAGAATAAAATCTAGTAGAAAAAACAATTGCGCACCAAGCGAACGCCAAAAAAAAAAAAACATGTGCATAATAGTGCGCAATATTATTAGTACTTTATAAATTTGCGTGCGTTTTTTGAAAAATCGGAAATAGCGTAAATTGGTACTTCCGGTCAACGGAAATTACTCAAAATGTGAAAGAAGGTAGAGAATCAGATCATTTACTTACATGTAAAATTTCATTTTTCTATCTGAAATAGTACTCAAGTTATAGGCTTTTGAAAAATTCAAAGTAGAAAAAGTACCACTTCCGGTTATCGGAAATCGTTCAAAAGTTGATACGGATCAACGATTTTAATAAAATACTTATATATAACATTTCATCAACCTAGCTGTAACGGTACTCAAGTTATCGTGTTTACATACACACAGACACACAGACAGACACACAGACATACGGACAGAATTGCAAAGCCCAGCTTTTCAGATTGGATTACGCATAAAACCTCTTAATTTTGAGAAATCTGGATTGATAATTTTTGCCCGATTAAAATAAGTCCTCTATACTTCGGATGTGATGAAGGACTGAAGTGTAATACGGTCAAAACTGTCAAAATTTCAAGTGATTTTTGTGCACGATTACAATACTTTCTCTATACTCTATCTACGAGAAAGTAAAAAAAAAACTAAAAAACTAAATTTATACATTTAAAAAAATAAGCAAGGGGAGATAATAGTCAATCTGAAATATTTTATTTTAGTAGGCGTCCACAAAGGACGTTACGCTTTAACTATTTTATCTCCCCCCCCCCCTTTCTTTCCCATTGTCACACATCGTCACAAAAATTCTGACCCACTAAAAAAAAAAAATTAATGCTGTACCTCACTCGAACACTTTCAATTTCTGTTTTAAAACATCGCGTTCTTCACAATATATGAACTGATCTTTGTCAATATTGAGAGTATGGATCAATTTCTACAACAATTTACAAAACAAAAATATCTTTAAAAAAAAAATTGAATAAAATCCTAAAATTATGTTTCAAACCTTACAATGCAAAAATGTGTCCCTACACTATTTAACACACCCCCTTCCCCGTCATGTCACACATTGTCACAAACGCCCAAGCCGCTCCCCTCCCCATAGACACGTAAGGATGTAAATCTACATTAATTCACATCGTATTTGATGGCATTATAAAACTTGTGTTACGCTAGCTTGATCTCATAAGCACAACCCCCCTCCCTCCGATACAATAGACTTTATATTCCAAAATATATATTTCAACCAGTGTTAGCACCGGAAATTTAAGTGCGCCCCCCCCCCCCCCAGATAATGCCTGAAAGAAACACTGGATTAGATTTTGCCCTATTTACCTAACGCTGAGAACAAGTCAGAGAACCTTAAAATAAAAGAGCAGATACGATTCACTGTCATGGAACCATTGAGCTTCAGTTCAGCTCCTATACGATTCAGTTTCAACTTTTACAAATTTTATTCAAAAGTTCAGATGTCTATTTTTAGAACGCGTGAATAAGCGCGCAGAGTTGTCGCGTAAACAAGGCCGGCTACTCGACCAGGGGCCGCAGGTATTTTAACAGAATATTTACTTAACATTCAACAGGACCGTCTTGGATATACTATTACGTTTAACTTTGGCAAATTCAAGACGGGGCCAAACTAATCCAATTATAAAATATAGACTTGTAAGGGTGCATCACTTTTACATTAGAATGTGGGTTTAGATTCAAGGGAGGTAAGAAATACCAAGATGTATGAGTTAGGTGTGCCACTAAGCTTAGTAAAGAAGAAAAAAAAGATGATCGTGTAAAGGCATGATGGGGTGACATAGGGGGGAAATAAATGACCTGAGCCTCGAAGTAGATGATGGTAGAAAACCTTGACCCAATTTTAAAACAAACAAACC